TGTATCAATGTCATCAGTATTTGCTTTCTAAAATTATAACAAAAAATTGTAGAGCTCTTCCACTTCACGTGAAGATGGAGGACCAGCGAGGCTGTTATTTTTGACGTCTAGGACGATGCCTAGAGGACGACCTCTCAGACGACCCAAAGGACGACTTTCAAGACGACCTCAAGGAAGACTTTTAGGACGACGCCTAGGACAACCTCTGGAACGACCATAGGAACGACTTCTAGGACGACCTCGAAGACGACGCCTAAGAGTACCTCTCGGACGACCTCAAGGGCGACTTCCAGGACGACTTCGAGGACGATGGCTAGAGTTGATAACAAGGGATCAGGACCTCACTATCTAATAACGCCAAGAAGGCTGATTCACGCTGGCTGCCCCCTATTTTTATTCATATTTATTCATACTTGCCACGACCAATGGGGAGTTTTCTGTCAACATCCGCGGACGCATGTTTTCCCAGATCCTAGCTCATAAAAGAGTCGCTGTAATATTGTGGACCTCTAATGGGACAGGAGTAAATATACACAAATTGAAGAAAACGCTAATAATGCAAATGTGTTACTCCTAAACTACAGTCGGGACAAAGAATAGAAAGCAAGACTGGCGGCAGAAACGTTTTTTTCGTCACTCTTTAGACAAGATGAACACAGAGTACAATATTCTGAGCAGGTAGCTCACATGCTGAAACCATCAAAATGTTTATAAACACTTCGGAAGCCGCAGCTCCATACAAATACTCGCTATGCCTCCCTGAGAAAACAGAAAAGAGCGGAGTGGTTTAGCACTACACAGTCTTGCGGGACAGAGGATAAATACAGAAGTGCGGGAATAAAGAAAAGCTGTGAAACCGCTTGACATACCTTCGGAGAGCTCGTAACTTGGAAGTCTTTCTGGTGTTTTGCCCTAATCCACTGGTAGCATCGTCGTTACTCGTCGGTCGGAAAGAAAAAAATGTAAACCTTCGGTCCCCCAACACAATTTCCCCAACACCCCGACACAGGACACTCATGAAGCATTGGCCTCATTTGCTGTATACTTGTCGACGAGAAAAAGTGAAAACAAAAGGCTCGTGTCTCGTCTCCCAATATCCAGCAGCCACCCTCTACGTCGCACATTCACTGTCTTGCTTTTCTCTGCGTTCGATCTGTCTGGCGTCGCATAAAGTTGCGTCGTCACGTCGCGTTATCTTCTTTTTTTTTCAATTTTGATTACATCTTGTAGGTACTATCTACATCTCCGCCGCTTCGAACGAACACAACGGGAATGACGACACACACACACACACAAAAAAAAAAAAAAAAAAAAAAAAAAAAACATTGTGTGCTTTGGCAATCTGGCGAGCATCGTCGCACACTCTAAAAAAAACCCGTGCGTCTACTTTCCCGCACAACACCTCGGAGAGCCAATAACCGCAACTTACGGAGGCAGCTCAACGAATGACGATGCCGAAACATACATGTTTAGGCTAAAAAACGTACTCTGAGTTGTGACATTAAAGGGGCGATGCAACAATTTTTGTACTTGATGCAAATACCCCTTAAAACGGATCCCTGACGTTAATGACCTATGAAACACGCGTTCGTTTTTCACCCCACGCAATAGAAGTTCCAGAAAAAAATTAAAGAAAAGCGAGCAGCGTTCACCCCCTCAACTCGCAGCCACGTGATCTGGAGCCGATTATATGCCGCCAATGTTGATCATAGCCACGCGCTGGGGTTGGCAAAGCACAGGACACGCGCTGAGTTCCAGACATTGTTATGGCTCGGCTCACTGTCGTCGTTGCAGCGATTGGACACGGGCCACTACCCGAATGCTTCTCGAGCTAGTAATTATCACGAGCCCAAATCAAGTGCCCACGCAATGCTCGGGTCCAATCTATGAACCGCATTCAAATATCGTCACTTGGGAATACTTCAATCCCCACGTTACGTCATCAAATTTTGCAAAGGAGAGATTGAATGAAAATGATCAATTTTGTCCTTGAAATTACACCGCAACAAAGGAATTTCTTGGCCAGTGGCGTTGCGTGCGAGTATCATTGAGTCCCACTAGTGCCAGTAAGCTCGTGTAAAGTGAAAAACATTCCAATTGAATGTCGTTGCACCGTCACGCTTGCATTGCTTAATGTCACAACTCAAACTGCGTTTTTTGGTCTAAACATATGTTTCGGCATCGTCATTCGTTGAGCTGTCTCCATAACTTGCGGTGATTGGCTCTACGAGTGTTGTGCGGGAAAGTAGACGCACGGGCTTTTTTTAGAGTGCAGGCGCCCGGTAGTGAAGACTCTCTGCAGGCTGTTCTTGCTTGGCCTACACGCTAAAAACACAAATCAGCGCCATCTTCTTTTAGATAATTTTCTGGCATAAAATCCTCTCTTCATGGTTGATTTGATCAATATTTTATGGTAGTTTTCAATGATGTGATTGGATTGAATCGTTTAAAAACACTCTTTATAGCAGCCAAAAGTTCCCTTTTGGCGAAGTAAAAAAAAAGTTTGTAGCACAAGTTTATATTTCATGCAAATTCTGCCGACCTTTTTTTTTTAATCCGAGCGTTCCTGAATTTAGTCCAGCTGTACTCTAATTTAATCCAAGTGGTCATAATGTAATCCAAGCGCAAACGAACTTCATCCCAACACCATCCATATTAATCCAAGAGCCACTCAATTTGATATGTTTATATCTGTCAATTAAAAAAATTACAAAGACACTTAAGACCGCTAACGTGTAGGAATGCGAAAGCATTCGTACACGTAGCGCATTCCTATAAGCTGCGCGCCGCGCTGTGCCCGGCCGAGCAACCTCCACATCGGCTGCCCAGGCAGGCTCTGCGGCCGGCCGCTCTTCCCACCCTCTCTCCCATACCGGCGGCCGGGCCGCTGCGCCGTGGAGAGTGCTACTCTGTGGGGTGGCGTTCCTTGGAACTATGCCGCGCGCCAGCCAATGTGAGTTTTCCATCAATTCGCTGCTACAGACTACAGGCTTCGCTCCATTGGACAGGGAAATTTAAGTGCCGTTTGGTGCGGCTTCCAAAGCTGATAATGTCGGTTCGCTCCATGGGAGTTATAAATGACTGCTGCTCATCTGTCAGAACTGTTTTAGAGGTCTGAGGTACATGCAAGTCACGAATGAACTTTTAATATATATGCGCGTTTCATGATTGCTTTATCATATTCCAAAACCATACCTCCGCGGTATGCTTGCACCGTGCCGCGGTCACCACCGCGGTTTCCTCAACGGGCGTTGACTGCTCATTTAAATCCTCTGTAACAACTTGGCGGTATGCTTGCGCCGTGTAGCGGTTTCAGACATCGCATGTCGACTAAAGGATCCTTCGATTAAGCGTCGTTCGACGAGCTGATTGGCGCCGGAGTTGTGCTTTTGGGTCCACGCAAACAGAGGGTCAAGCTGTGACACAGAGTGAAGGTGGCTTGGGGTCGGTAGTCACCGGGTTGTCTCTTGGTTTGAAGCTCCTTGAGAGGCCGAAGAGGGGATCGAACGTCTCCGAGATGACCGAGGGCCACGCTGAGCCCCCCTGGACAGTGGCGTAGCATCCGTTAGTTGACTGCGGATATCCGCGGATATGCAGGGCTCTACAATAAACAATTTCGCAAAACTTAAAAAAAAAAAAAAAAGTTTTGCAATACAAAAGCCTGATTTTCGGTACAAAACTTTGAAAACACATCGGACTGTTTCGTACCTCCTTCCTTTCGAAAGCTCTCTGCCTTTTCACTGTGATACATCCGCGGTACCCAAAGCGCGTCGCCCGGCCCAAACGCACGTCACAAGATACCGGCCCTCACTTATTCCCTTCTCGCCTAAGCTGACAGTGCGGTGGAAGCTATGCGCTTGCCGGACCAATCAGCCACCTCCTTTTCATCACCTGACCTTATTCTCTGCGCGTGGGTATGCGCGAGGGAGCGTGATCACGAGCGGCTGACCCAACAAACAAGTAGCTTCCACAGCACTGTCAGCTTCGGGGTGCCAGTTTTGAGCGACGGGCTATCTTCTATAACAAGAATGGCATGTGTCCGGGTACACAAACGAGGGTCGAGCATGAGGGGAGTTCCTTCTTTCAGTCTTCTTGAACTGTTTGGTACAGTGAGCGATTTTTGAGTTGAGGAGCAAAGAAAGCTAAGGAAAAAGTTTAAAAATCGTTTCATGACCTCTTTAATTGGGCGTTGTTCAACACCGTCCTACAACTTTCCAGTTTACATAAAAATTAGCTAATTAGTTTTAACGAATTAAATAACAAGGTGCACAAAAAAAGGTGTGCCCTTTCGTAAGACGTTTGCTAACATCCAGTTCGTTTCCCTCCTGCAGAGTGCAGATTTTTGTTTTGATTTGTGTGTTGCCTGGGACACCCTGTATGCTTTACAAAACTTCCAGACCCCCCCCCCCCCCCCCTTAATCAACGTTGGTCAAACACCCAATTGCATATTTGTTGTCAAAAAAAAAAATTGTTTTGCAACATTGATTGCAGGCACTGCCATATTCCAAACAACTCAGCCATTTCCTACGACATGGGCAAAATCTAGCTAACAATGATGTGGACGAAGAGTCAAAACGCTGACCCATTGGAATGGATTTCGTTAATTTCTTCCTTTCTCCTCATGATACTGATTAATAGAACAGATGCCAACTAATAAATTTTAAAGGCATGCGAGAGCAATAGATCATGTAGTACCATACGTTTCAGAAGATTTCACTAGGTATCTGAAACACTGTAATAGAGTAAAAATGCTGAAATAGAAAACCAAGATAATGACAAAGGAGGTGCACTTCACGGTTGAATGGCTGGCCATTCCAGTTTAGACAGGAAAATATAAAAAGCAACTGGTTTAACAGCACTTTTTTTCTTCTTACATTGATTGTGAGTTTTCTTCTGCCAAAGTGCTGCCACCAGCTAACACTGTGATTACTCACGTTTCTGCTTACCTTCTGCCTTTTTCCCCTCAGTTGCCCATAATAAAATAAGACAATAGACTCACCTAAAGTGGCTTTGTTTTATTTTAGGTTTTTTTTTCTAGAGAAAGAATACCACCACAACAGGAATAACTGCAAGCCGGACACCAATAGTCACATGCGGACTTAAAACAACCAAGAAAGCCACATAAAAAGAAGAGGACAGGTTTACAAACCAAGAAGTTGCACAATTCAACAACTACTCACTCCTGTCATGCTGTATAAAAAAATGTGGATGTCAATGAGTAATATCTAGCAGTGCCCTATTTACATTATGTACAGTCACCACATTGTGCGCAACACCAAGATGTGAAAACATTGGTGTGTAAGCATGCTGAAAGCCATGGCACATCAAGGGAATACATGATGTCAGTGGCAGAGAAGGGGCTAAGTCAATTTGTCGAATTTGCTTTCTCAGGTCCACACTTAGCCAGTGTCTACAAACCACAAGATGTGTGAGCAAAATGAAACATGTTCTTTTTACACTGGTAAACAATGACAAGGCTCTTTGCTTAGCAAAGATTAAACAAGTGAGGAGATTTGGCATGAAACATTTAGGATAAACGAGACAACCGAAAGTACTTAGGTAGTTGCTGAGTACAAAAATGAATGAGGTGAAAAAATATGCATAAAATGGTAACAGGACTATATGACAATGAATTTTGATATGAAATTGGTACATAATGCAGATAGGATGAAACCATAACAAATGCCTTTGGAAGTAGCATAAGAAGTTGCATAACACATCTGTGTAAATTTTACAGTGAATATGTGCATCATATACACAAAGGTTTGAAAGACAAACTTGCATTACTACTCAGAATATGCTTGTGCTTTGTCAATTCAAATCACATAAAATTTTGTTGAGGGGGCAATAGGCTCTTTAGAAAGGAAAAACTTAAAAAAAAATAGTAACCTCAGCATAACCATACACATAAAAAGTAGCACCGAAATTGTGCAGATGAGCTGCTTTTCACAATGCACATAACAACATAAGATAAGGTGATAGAACACCAGAGGAACATAGGCATACAAGAAACATTCAAGACCCCACAGCAGATGACAGTTGCCCCTACAGGCAGGTGGACTAAAAATAAAATTTTTCAGCAGTTCCCAAACAAGCTTTCCATATACTCCAAAAGTGTGCATGAACCAGCCTTTCAATCACAATGCTTATACAGCCAACTCCCACTGTGACCACTTCACTAATGCCAAGAGTAGTGATGAAGTGAAATGACCACATTAATGGACAAATGTTAGATAGGCATTATGCTTTGGTGTCCCCAAAGATTGGTCAGTTTTGGCCTTGCCCAGGTTTGGGCAAAGCAAGTGCCAGGCTAACGGTGGTCACATTAACAGGAGTTTACCGTATTAATTTAATGAATATGATATTTAAATTGAAAAATAAGTTAAGTGATCTGTTGCTTTTTAGCGTTAAGGAAAGGGTACACTATTAAGGTCAGCGAGCAATCCTGGAGCTTGGTCAAAGGCTCATGACAAATATTCACAAACATTTCAATTTAGAAACAAACAATTTGGTTTGGATCATGTACTTGAGATAGCCAGCCAGTTATGAGTTGTATTCATCTTTTGTTAAAATCATGACATGCCCCATGGTTAAAGATCAAGTCAAAACTTGTGGTCCAACTACAGGTTTTACTTGATATTAGCGGAGGCAGTAACATGGTAATGAAGTAAAAATAATGCAACTTATCACATGCTTTATACATTTGAATTTCGCTTCGACGGTGAGAGCACAATATTGCAGGGTGAAAATTCATTAAAAATAAAAAGAAAGGTAATGCAGTCAATCAAGCACCTGTCTCTCCCAGTTTTTGAAGAAGTTGCACTGTGTACACGGCATGTGCAGCAATGAAAAGCTGAATTATTCTACCTGCAGAAATAGAATTTCATTAAGAAATCATGGTACTAATTTATACAATGAGTAGCACAAGTAAATCTTTACATTTTCCACTCCCACAGAAAAGCACCTTTCATGGTTGATAATTAAAATCAGTTTGAGCACTAGAAATCTCATAAAAGTTTTACCGTGTCCGCAATATTATTTAAAACAGCACACACAGATGCAACAAACTAAGGAACTGCTAGATTTGTAGCCAAGCTTCATGTACAAAACTAATTAAAGGGATCATTAAACATGAGCTGGCTGTAGGAAACCATATGATCTTCATCTCCCTCATCAAATCAGATCACTGGGACATCCCTGCCATTTTTCAACGACTCAGCCAGTGCCACCGGTGGTTACTGGCTTCAGGGGCTTTTACTTTCTCCTATTTTGCTACTTCTCAGTTTCTATGGACCCAGAGTAGTGCATGGCCTCTGCTTGGTGCAGAAAAAACACAAGTCAAGGAAGAAAAACATACTATAACCTAACCCATACCTTTTATTTTTGCCCATGACAACAAAAAAACCTGATACTAATTTTGCAAAGAAGCAAAAGTATGCAGGCAGGATGGTTAAGAAACATCATAATCGAAATGCTGAGACAAGGTTTAGATTACAATGTAACCTGTTTTTTGCTTCACGAATGCAAGTTCCTCCCTAACGCTAATATATGGCCTAAGTCTGCAAGTCATTTTTATGGTCCCTTTAATGCAGTAATTTTGTAAATTGCCAACCACTTAAAAAACAAATATTTTAGAGACTGGCTTCACTTGCTGCCATACTTAGATGAGTTAGCAAATTTAGTTTAAGGGTGCTACCTTTCAGATATATAGTCAACAAATTTAAAAGAACAACACTAAGAAAAATAACCCAGATACCTTAAAATGGAAGCAGTCTGTTAAAAAAAAATTACACAGATATTTCTCACTCAACAAAAGAAAGTAAAAATCTTAATATTTACCCATGAACAGAGAGCGGTTCGTAAAAGCATTCTTTGCCGATACCTTAAAATGGAAGAAATGGAAGCAGTCTGTTAAAAAAAAATTACACACATATTTCTCACTCAACAAAAGAAAGTAAAAATCTTAATATTTACCCATGAACAGAGAGCGGTTCGTAAAAGCATTCTTTGCCTACATGATAGGAGTGGAGACAAACTTCTTTCAGCATGCCAGGTCAATTCTGACTATGAAAAACATATGCATTAAAAGTTATCTTTATTTTCAGTGAAGCAAATGAGGCAGTGCCTGCTCCAATTTTATAACTAGCCTTGTCATTTACTTGGAAGCTCTACTTGTATCAAAAAGACATATGCAATGTTATGAAGCCGAGGCATGGTGAAGAGAGTTATTTTGGGGAAGCTGCTTCCAAAATATATAATCTTGCCTAACCAATTCAAGAAAATACTGCATGTACAACAAAATGGAGACACCGGTGGGTAAATCTAGGTGGCAGTAAGCTTTTCTTACTAGTTTTATAAAGAAAAAAATAAAAGCCTTAGGCACAACAAAAGACAACTATAATAATTTAATAGGCTGCCCCTCACCTTGGCACTGCAACGAGCAATAGCTCAATCAAATCTGTTCACTGTACAGAACAGTACACAGTTAGCTCTTCTACCGTGATTGAATTATAAATAGGAAACGCACGGCGTGTCACGTGAAAACAGAAGTTTTCGCGGTGCAATGTGAACATTCATTTTCCTTCTCGCTTTGTATAAGAATGGATTGTCATTTTACACAGATTAGGATCCACACAATCCACTGGTACTCTTCTTCCATAAGAGCCTCCAAACCGCCTCGTAGGGCAGGCAGCATAACTGGCGCATTTAGCTACATGAGAAACTACTCCGATCCAATTAGCAGAGCCCCATCAAGGTTTGTGCCTTGTACGTCGAGAAAATTTCATGATGCGGCCACCTAGAGCCTGTTGCTCCTCCCTCTAGTGCTAGATTAGCACTTGCACCTCGCTCGTTCAGTGCTGCATGAGAGCGCCCGACACTAGGTGCTCTGCGTACGGGGCCGACTGGAAGCAACGCTCTGCCCAGCTCAGGAGAGCTTGGCAGCTGTGGGGACTGTGGCAGGGTCCCGGGGGGGCGTGGCAGGCTGGGCAAGGGTTGGTGCCGCTGCAACCAGGGGGGCCACAGGAGCCTCCGAGGGAGCATCGCGCTCCTTGTCCAGCCCTGGCCGGTAGCTCTCGCGCAGGGCATCGAGGCGTTCGGGTGTAGGGCCCCAGCGTGCATAGCCTGCATCGTTCTGCAAGAAGATGATGTGCGTCCCGTGCGTAGCGCGCACGCTCACCTCCGCCCTGGAACAGAAAGAAGATGCATTTGGCATCTACGAAAATTCCCAGGAACTAGTCGCTAGATTGGGAGATTCCCGATGCAAACCTAAATGAATGGCCTTTGTTTCAATCTTCCAGCTCACTATCTGTTAAAACAGAACTGAATGTGAACGCTACGACCAAATGTGTACAAAATAGCTATGTGCAAATTTTAAACTGGGGTCTTCTTTTCAGGGAACACACTTCACATATGGGAGCTGTATAGTCTGTTGATTTTATTTATTTCAATACCCCCAGGGCCGAGGGACACTGGATGCGCTTTATGCGCTGTTATGCAAAAAAAAACAACAAGGGGTGCTGTCTACCCAATGAGGGTGTAAGCCCTAATTTATTTATTTTATTTAAAAACGAGCCAAAATCGCTGCTACCGCTACGCTGATTCTCGAAGAAATGTGTTAGCATTTCGTGCAGCGGTTATATATGACAAAGCATGGTGAATGCAGCTTCTCAGCACTTTTCCGCAGAGCAGGGATAAGCAGTATTTCAAATACAAGTATTTGAAATACGTATTTTAAATACTTTCTGTATTTTGCATTTGTATTCAATTACAAATTGGGTAATGTACTTGATGCGTGTATTTAAATACTAAAAAGTGGGTATTTCGAATACAATTGTAATTAAATACAATTTTGTGGGCGAAAATACATCCCTCAAATTTATTGCCACTGTCCAGAGCAGGAACAAAACTACGTTCTGCAATGCAGTGTCTCTCAATCAAGCACAAGCGTTTAGTGACTTTGTGATTACGGTGCTAGTCCAGGGCAAGAATAGTGACGAAATCGACGTTCACAGGCAGACTGGCTAAATAAGTGCCTGGAACAACTTGTGATGCTTTCCAGCCTGATTTCCATCCATATTTTTGCTTGGAACATTCTAAATGCGCGGGTCGTCCAGATTTTCGTGACTGGTGCGAGTTGCAACAATAAAAAAATCTCTAGCTAGTGCTGCGTGTCTTGGTCGTCTCGGTTCATCGTTTTTCTTTGTTGGACTATACCAAAATGTAATCGACAAAAAAAGCTGTTTGAAGCTCTGTACCTTTTTCACCTATTACGTCCAAGCTGATAACATTTTTTTATGATTATATTTCTATTACGTATTTAGAGCCCTGCAAACTAACTCCCGAGTGTGCGATGCAAGATTAAAATGAGATACCCAGAAACCCGTTGCAGGTGCCCTGAAGTCGCCGACGCAAATTTTGAGGAATGTATTTGGAAAAGTATTTCGAGGAGACCAAATACATTTGGTTGTATTTGTATCTTGTACTTAAATGCTTTTTTGGAAATGTAATTAGATTTGTAATTAAACACAGTTTTGACGAAGTTTTTTGGATTTGTATTTCGATACGTATTTGCAAGTATTTTGCCCATCCCTGCTGCAGAGTGAACATTCCCGAAACCCCTCTTCTCCCTGGTGCAAGCAGAACAGTTCACCTAGCGTGTGCATGAAGGATGTGCCAGTGATGCGCTTACGATGACAGAGCCATTTCGTTGTGCGTATTTATTTACCGTGAATGTCCGTTTAATTCTGTTAAGGCCAGACACTGGTTCTAAAACTAATTTTTTATTTATGAACAAACTGTAATGAAACTTGTTGTCTATGCATATTGTCACCCTCTTTTCAAATATGCGATTAGATTTAAGACATCTCAATTATTTTTTGAGTGACATAGCAATTAATAAAACCTAATTAGGTTATTTCTTAAAGGGCTTTAAGGTCCTTTATAATGAATTTCTTTTTATAAGTGATATGGAATTGTAGGTAAAGACCTGCCATGCAGACCTGTGCTATTTATACTTTTGTAAAAAAGGATTATTTGATCAAATTCGTCTAATTATGTCAAGTACCCTATTTATGAAATACAATGAGGTCACATTATCACTAATAAAATTTGTTCAAGTGCATTCAGACATACAAAAATAGCATAGCTCGGCAGTTCACTTCTTTCTGAATTAAACGCTATAAAGTTAACAAAAATGCTTAAAAAAAAGAAAAGCTTTGAAAACCTCTGTAAGGCTAAGTATATAGACGAAAAACATGACGCTGAGTAAATCGCAGTTGAAGTTTTGACAATAATTGCAGAAAATTGCATGAGGGATTCTATGCAATAATTGTAGGTAAAGACCTGCCATGCAGACCTGTGCTATTTATACTTTTGTAAAAAAGGATTATTTGATCAAATTCGTCTAATTATGTCAAGTACCCTATTTATGAAATACAATGAGGTCACATTATCACTAATAAAATTTGTTCAAGTGCATTCAGACATACAAAAATAGCATAGCTCGGCAGTTCACTTCTTTCTGAATTAAACGCTATAAAGTTAACAAAAATGCTTAAAAAAAAGAAAAGCTTTGAAAACCTCTGTAAGGCTAAGTATATAGACGAAAAACATGAAGCTGAGTAAATCGCAGTTGAAGTTTTGACAATAATTGCAGAAAATTGCATGAGGGATTCTATGCAATAAGTTTCATCAATATGTACAGTGTTCTTTCTGAACAAATTGAGATAAAATGGGCTATAATCCATACATAGGAACCTTAAAAAAAATATGAAAGATAAAAAGAATACAATATAAAAATAAAATTTTGCAAACCAATTAGCTGATTTTACGAGAGACAACGGGAAGGGCCAGCAATAGTTTGAAGCTCCAAACGCAATTTTGTTTGGCCCTAAAAAGGGCCTTTGGTCTGTGTAGCTCTGGGAAGTGCCTCCACAGCTGTTCGGGGCTGTCATCCTGAACTGCTCCTGCCTTGTGTTGCTTGGCATACTCCTTTACACAGCTGCTGCTCTGGTGTGCAGCGTTTGCTTTACGCGGCCGGAGAATGTCCTTTCTGACACTTCGGCGTTTGAGGCAGTTACCAGTTGCATAACCCAGGCTTGCGGCAATGGACTCGCTGGTCAACCTCGTTCCCTGGTTGTAGATGGCAACAGCCTCAGCTGCATCCCTCTTCACTCTGTCCAGGGATACATTCGCGTTCTTGGATGTCTGCGTCCAGATGATAAATGTAGGCTCTTGCTCGCATTCTGGGTCTTGCCTTCACTGCAACATGCCAGCAGATCTTCATTTTCAGCCTTGCGAACACGGAATCAGGTGCAGCCCGAACAGAATCTGGAAGTGGATTCTTGTGCGGCAGAGGAGGTTCACAGCTTGCCAACGCCCTGTTGAACCTGCACCAGGACTCGGCTCCATCAGGGCACTGATGTAGTGTTTCTTCACAACTTTGACAAAGCCATAAACGTCTGCCTCTGTCAACGCATGAAAGGTCCGACTGTCACCATCTGAAAGAATGGTGGCGTAGCGTAGTCCATGCTTGGCCAGGGATCTTTGAAACATGGTCAATGCAGCTTCAACCTCTACGCGACCAGCATTATAATCAATGTTCATTTGACCATTGTGGGCTGCGTACCAGTCGCTGTAACCCTCTTCCAGCAAGTCCAGTCCCCGAGCACAACCGAGGCAAACGTTTGAGTAGACCATATGGTCGAGGACTGGGCTCGAATACAGTTCGATAATGCAGCCCACACCAATGTGGGAGCTGCGTCCTCTGGTCATCCAGGATCCATCAAAGACAACGTCAATGTTGGCAACAGGGTTCGAGAAGTCTTCGTACAGCTTCTTTACAACTACCATACAGGCAGCTTCACTCGCACCTGCCGAGTTTTGGCAGGCTTTTACAAAAGTCTTCAAGTGCACCTGGAAGGTCTTGTGGTGCAGGCCACGATGGGACAAGTTTATGCTTGCACAGAGGTCCGTCAGGGCTGTAACTCCTTTGCCGATTGACTGAATCCCCTTCATGGCCCACATGTACACTTCGAAGGGAGTGTGATCTTCGCCGTTCCGGACACTCTAGGTGAAGAGAACTGCTTTTTCTCGAGCTCACATACGGTGCAGACGAGAGGTTTGACTGCTAAACCATATTCCTTGTCCATAGCAGGCATGTAGCCAGGACTTTGTTTCGGGGGCGGGGGGCTCGCCCATGACAAAATGCTGTATGAGGGGGAGGGGGGAGAGGAGGTCCCAGCAAAATGGAAGATTTTGGGGGCGGGGGGGGGGGCCGGGCCCCATGGACGCCCCTGGCTACGTGCCTGGTCCATAGCCTAGGTGATTGACAGTGTTCCTGCACCGCAGCTTCCAAAATTTTTCTGTGCTAAGAGGTCGTTCAGGAGCTTCATGTCTACGACAATAAACTGTGTCCAGGCGTTGCTTGCCTGGCCTCCCGCATTGACGCCGGGAAGGTTGAACTTGCGCTCGGTCGCCAACTTTTTGGATAAGGTACGCTTGCATTGCTCCTCTCGTTGGACACATTGCGCCTGCTCAGCCATAGAGAAGTATGCGGAGTTGACTCACACCGTAGTTCCAGAGCTCGAGAAACAGCCTGTGGTACAGCTGGGACCCGCAATGTCTTCGGCAGGAAACCCGGCCAATCTTGCCGGCAGATCCAACGATTCCGGCGGTGCCGATTGCAGTGGCGCACTTGTGAGAAACCCCTTTGGCGTCTTGTTCCAGGCATGTTTCTTCCTTCCGAAAGCTCGAAGCGTGCTCACTTTCAACCGAGCATCGACCCGCATCTCAAGAACTCGAAACTCCTGCAGCTTTGTAACAAAACAAGGCAACGATCAATGTTCAATCTAAGCGCGCAAACGGGAACTAAAACGTGTGCTTGATTACTGAAGAATCAAAGCACCTGAGCGAGCAGCCGTCAACACACAGCAGGCGACAGTTTCGTCAGCGCGCAAACCGAGAGGAGGAGATGAGGAAATGCGAACGTTTCCTGAGGGTGTCACGAGAATGAGTGAGCATTAGGAAAGAGGAGAGAGAGCCAGCTTTCCAACAAGCTCAAAATGGCCGCGATCCGACAAGCTACAGCGGCTGCGGAAGGCGCCACGTGCGAGTTCGACTACTTTTTGCTTCGAAATCGCGATTCGAACGCTGCCAAGGCATTGTAACTAGCGTTTCTCTTGTACTTAGACATCGAATTGGGCATTGAAACTTTGCATGAGGCTACTTTAGACAATATTCAATCCAAATATGCAATTACACAAGACAAGAAATTTTGTGTTTATTGATTATTTCAAGACATGCGTCTCCCCTTAAAGGGGCCCTGCAATCATATTTAAGCGTCTAACGTTTTTGCGGTTTCCACGTCTCTTGAGATTAGGGTAAGCCAGCGGGCACGGAGAGAGTAACTAAATATCAGTGAGTCATATTTTAACCGGACGACGCAGAAGCCTCCTCCACCTACAAGGGCGACCCGCGGTGCTGAAAGCGCGCGATATGTAAAGTCTTTGGTCCTGGCCTTACTACCGGTCAGAGCCGCTAAAAGCTTCTTTTTAGTCGAAATACAAAATATAAGTGGTGCGAATTGTTTCTATTATTTATGAAACTAGTTTTTGTTCAGTATTTTAGATCGGAAAAGAAACAAACGCAGTTTATAAAGTACAGAAACAAGAAATGACCCATCGACATACCCGCCACCAAGCAGTGGAAAAGGTGACGCATACTAGAAAGGGGTAGTGGGATCAGGCACCGACGAGCGGCGACCGTAGAAAGGTCCCGGATGTATGCGGCAGCGCTGCGGTCGCATACGGGCTCGAGGATCTGAGCGTTCCGAAGGCCTTCGGCAAGCAGGCTCAGCTTGCAGTTCGGCCGTTTGGCGGTATGGCAGCGCAAAGTGGATTCCGTTCTGGACGGTTCTTTACCCCATGTTTGCTGTCCGTGTCGACGGCTCTCGAGCAGTCGACACGGACTGCGGCAGCTGTGAGCGCTCGCCGAGCTCACTAGCCCTCCTCTAGTTCACGGCCACTCAAGCCACGACCAAGGATGTCATGAAGAAGGTTATTTTTTGCTTGTTTTAGTAATTTTAATTTGCCTATAACTTAAAATAAAGCGAAATTCGAGAAAAGAAAAGTTTCATTAAGTTACTACATTCAGTGCACTCAGGTTCGGTGCAAAATAAAACCAGTCAAAAGGTCGTTGCAGGGCCCCTTTAAGCCAGTTCCCTCGCTCGCTGGCCATGGTCCGCGTACTGTTGTCTTCGGAGAGCCCGTCTCTGCTCTCGAACGTTGGCAGCCTCAGTTGGAGCCAGCACACCTTCCCTCGATCGAAGTGTACAGTTCGCACACTGTTGTTTTTGGAAGGCCAATCTTTGCTCTTGAACGTTGACGGTTCTCTTGGGTTTTGTGTTGCCACGCATGTTGTGCATACAGGGGTGACGACACCGTGGGCTAACGGCCCAGTGACATGGTAGGAGGACTGCTCTCCAAGAACGACATGGCAGGCGTGCCAGGTTGACGAATGGAATCGCAGCTTGTGTGTATCCACAGGTCTCCAAAGCTGGCGGCAGGAGCTTCTGAAGGCGTCCAAAGAACGCACCCGCACTCCGCCCGCCATTTGTCGGTGCTTGCAGGTGTTCCCTAGCCAGTTTCCACAGCCAGTGTGTCTGTGGTGTAATCCCGTGGTGATGTTGCCAACTTTGGTTAGTCCAAACCAGTCCAAAATCAGTGCATGTACTAAGCGCTAATGTAACGCATTAAAATGCGTTACATTAGCGCATTTTAATGCGCTAATGTATAGCAGTGAAACAACTGATACACAGCAATTCCAAATGTGTAGCAAAAATTTTAGCTGCAAAGCCTAAGAATCATTCCTGGGTTCAAACTCTGGTCCTGCCCATGTCGATATGAATGAGCATTATACCGGTATGGGGTCGTATATCCCCACTGCATGATGCCCGTAAAAGACCCCTGGTTAGCAATCATAATGCATTGGCTAAATTCTTCCCGTACAGCATTGAACCAATCTCGCCATTTCTCACCGTATAAACATTCACATTCTATTTGCTTTCGATTTTTGAGTCTTCCTTTAGCAAAGGAATTTGAGCTTTAATGAATAAAGGAAGCGAAAGTATTGCAACCACTCAACAAAACATTTGCCACCGAAAATATTTTCCTAATTTTTTAAATAAATTTTAAACAGCAATACAGCAAAACGTATTAGCCAGTTGCTTTCATGAAATGACTATTTCGTCATATCACCTACTGCTGAAATATGAAGTGCCATTAGTTGAGGGATCTTGTGAATAAAAAGAATGTTGCCAACTAGTTTTATTGTACAAGAAATCAAGAGAAAGATGTACATGCCCATGTGTCACATTGCTGTAGCCCTCTCCCTTCTCTGCTCTTCAACTAATTGAAGCTTTGCTCTTCATCATTTCGTTTTTTCTCGCTCATACAGGAATATAACACTATTGCCAGTATCGCTGATCACCGCTGCATGCTTGGTCACCGCTTTGCAAGAATGTGCTTACAAAAAGGTAATGTAAAAAATGCCTAATGCACTTTTGCAACCAACTGTGAGCAGCTATGATTAGATGAAGGTAAAAACATCCTTGCCTGTGCGCATTGTGCCTCTACGTATTATGCTTGTTTGTTCTTTTGGTGTCGTACTTGGCAGCCGTCGCCGTACCTGGGCTCTTCCGAACGCGTCGCTGGTTTACCACAAAAAAGTCTTTGCTTCACTAAAAAGATAGAGGTACACCTAAGCATTCCTTACGAGTTGTGAATTTGAAAGCATGCAAGCCGCTCGTCCGCTCCCTTTTTCGTCTGCTGCATACTTTTCGTCGCCGGTCGGCGCGTGTGCTCCCCTGATGACCTTGGACGCTCCGCACCGATGGACACGCAGCGCCATGAGGTGAGCGGTCGCGGAAACTGACGAGCGCAGCGGCCCATGGGAGCCCCATCGACGTGCACCAGCCAATGGAGCTGAAGGAAACTATCTGCCGTTTTTGCACTTCAGACTGATGACGTCAGCTCGCTCCATGAGACAGTTAATGCTTTCATATTAAAAAAGAGATTTGCAAATGCAATAGCCTGTGCCAACCTATGTTCTTGGTCACCAGTGTTTACTGCTCAGCAACAGATAACCACGGAGGTGTGCATTTTATTTGTAATTAAGAGATGTATACCAGAACCATACCTTGGCATGATATGCTGAAATCCATGCCTGAACTCATGATCATAAGCAGGAATCAACAGCTGCTCTCGTTTGTACCTGAAATGTATAAAAACAAATTTCTTTATGATCAAACCCTCCTATTTCAAGCTGTGCAGAAAATAATTCAAACCAAAGAGAGCAAAGAAATTGTAAGAGACACAACAAACATGGGCTTGCAGAAACTAACATTAAATAGTGAAAAACGAATTACTTAAAGGGCTTAGTACCTATTTACACGAATGTAGGTCGATCTTTTTTCAATTTCTGAAAATCTGAAGTAGGGGGTTAACTAATAATCGAACTAAAGCATTCCACCGCCGGACAAAACGAAACCCTTGTGATATCATGACCACCTGGGCTTGTTAAAAGTGCAGCCGGCTGTACCTCTAGCATTGCGCTATTCTGTGTGGTCATTTTACAACTTATTTTATTTTTTATTTGCACAAACAAGTATTATTGATAGCAATTCGCAAATTGACCCGAATGTACGACGGTGAACAGCGCATGGCGCACCCGACTCCCGGGGGGTGGCGGCACTTCTTGCAAGAGCCACTTCGAAGGCCGCTGAAACAGCCTCATGGCTCACTCTCCCTGTGGCTTCTCTTCAGTTTTTCGGACGATTCACGGTCGCACGTCGTTTGATCGAGTGTCGAGAGCGTGCTGGAGCGCTAACTATGTTTTTTTGTATCGACACGCGTGATCCGGGCAGTTCATGTTTTCGGTGCTCCTTTATGGCCATTCTTCACCCAGAAGCAACCAACAACTGCGCTGTTGGATGCAAGTTCGACCTATTGGAGCGGGTGATGCTCCAGTGGAGTGTGCAATAGCGCGGGATCTTAAACTGTGATGGCAAATGAAGAGGCTCCCGTAGGCCAAAGTCTCGATAGGTGGGGATGCCTTCCGGAGTTGGAGGTCAGGCTTGCAACGTACGCCGCAAAAGTGTGCAATCAATCCCTATCCGATCGCCGAGCAAGCGCGGAAGATGCGGTTGATGCTGTCGTTTACGAAGTACGAGATTTCGTTGGACGATGCCGACGACGCGCTTCGAGAATGTAGCGGTGAAGACGACAGGACATCACCAGTGCGGACGATTCGTAGTCTAGTCACGGACGGAGTAAGAATGACAGGGAGCAGTTTCAGTTGTCCCGCCTCCAGCGTGAACTTCCTAGTTTCGATAACGCCTGGGCATTTCATGCACTTCGCGCGTGCATGCGCAGCCAAAGCACGCCAGAAAGCATCGATCGCGTGTTGGAGGCTGGGCTTTCGAAACAGATACTTTGCCGTTCTCACATGCTCGCAGTAAAATGCACATCTAAAGATTTTTTTTTTTTTGCTGATGTGCAATGTGCGAGGGTCGACTTACAATTGTGTAAATATGGTACTTAATAGGTATACTAATACGAATTTGACCATTTCCAACAAAATATAGTTTCAGAAAGAACAATGATATTGGTCTTGATCCCTGCTCTTTAAACAAGTGCCAGCAAGAACAAGACAAAGACTAAACAGAGAACTATAGCTGATGCAGTCATTAATCACTGTAAAATAGAAAGATTATATAATTATGCTGCACTTGTTTTTATCGTGGAAACCTTACCTGCTAGCTTCAAGCTTGGTGAGGGCCACCGGCACAGGATCACGGAAGTCAGGAAAAAAGACGATGAATGATAGTGATTCTTGCGACTCGGTGAGTAGCCGCTGCAAAACAACAAAACCACATCCACAAATTTTTTTTAACACATTTAAAGCCATCTCGTTTTAATTTCAGAGCAGCATAATTATAATATTTCAGTATGACCCCCCCCCCCACACACACACACACATACACACAATACACACAAATGATACTGACAGACAGCATTCTGTGGCAACTCAGAGAAAGGAAAAAGTGCACATATGAAGCATTGACCGAGTTGCCTCAGAAAGGTGTCTCCTGATTTGAAAGCAATGTCAAATATAAATAATGGTTTTCTTTTGGTTCTCGAAAAAAGTTAGTCATGAATAAATTTGGTTTTGGGTTTCGGCTTAAGGGCTGACGACCGTTTCGCGCTTTCCACTTTTTCCTCGCTTCCTCCTCTCCTTCCTTCTACCCTTTCCACTGCTTGTTTCCCCCCCCCCCCCCAAACCCCCCCACACACACACACACTCGTCCCCTACCCCAGAGCCCTACCCCTGCACAGCTAAGCCCACGGCAGCTAAACCATAGACTTTAACTAGAAGAAAAAAAGGGATTACGATACAAAAGAGCAACGCCAACATGATCGACAAGCGGCCTTGAATGCTCGAGTTACAGTGCTCTTGGCCTTAGTGCAGGTCTTCAGTCAGTGTGCCCTGCACTGGTGTTTCTTCTAATGCTCCCCTTGCATTTTTTCTTCTTTTTTTTCCGAGGGAAGCGGAAAAAAGAGAGGGGGGAACGTTGCTAAATGCGATTGGAAGCCATTCTTTTGTTTTTTGGTACTTCCTTTCGTTTTATTGAGGAGATATCCACGACTTTTGAAAAATATTGTCTGCACATGCGCAGCCCCATGCAGACGCTGGTTCGGAAGTTGTGAGTATAAAAACATGTGATTGCGTGCTCGAGCGAAATAAGCTACTGCTTCCCGAGAAGACAGTTACATCCTGCTTCCTAGATGCAGTGGCCAGTGAGTGAACGGAATGTAACTTGTACGCAGTATAGTATAGACCTTTATTGCTTACTCTCGCCCCCAGCCACCTGGTAGGCATATTTGGTACGGGCGATGAAAAAATAATAAAACATTTCAACCTGTAAATAGTAAAAAAATAAAGGGGTGACAAAACGAGACTGAGCAATGGTTAAGCTTATATCATAAATTTATTCTATTGGTGAGGCGACGGCAAAACAATGGCTTCACCCATACTGGAAGTGATGATATTTCAAGATGGCGACTCCCTTGTGAAGTAGGTCTATGGACTAGTGCCACTCTACACATTGTGGCTTATCTGCAGCTTATCATTCGCCCCGAAGTTCGTACAAAGAAGCTTCTTCACTCTTCCTTCCTTGTAGCCCTCAAATTTTCCTACCAATGCATTCCAATCCAGGCATTCGACAGGGGAAGCAGTTATTTAAAAGACGTCAATTCACGTTGATTAAAAATTGCGCTGATCAAAGAAGCACCCAGTGAAGATGTACCAAGCAGTACAAGAAACAAACTTGGTTCTTTTTTCCTGGTCCCGGACTTTAGACCTGGAGGATTCTTCGCTAATCCTCCAATACACAGATTCTGACGTGTCCCTTGTGGGCGCACCTTTTTGCCAGCTTAGTTCCATTCCTGTGCTCGCACAATGAACCAACTTACCATCCAAACGGCCAGTGCGGACTCATGCGTGACTTTTTTTAGTCCCCTCTTTTTATCCTCCGCTTCCCTCGCTCAAAGACGTGAGAGGAGGAAAGCCTTACAGAATGTTGGGTTCGGTCGTCGGGCTTCAAGTCCCCGTCTTGAACTTTGGGAAAACACAAAGGAATATCTACACACTTCAATCACAAAAGTTCTAAATCCTTAAACCATAAGCTAAGGCCCGTTAACCTCGAGATAAAAAAACTCAAAAAAGGAGGTTTCAAGTTTTTCAGCAACAAGTTATCCACAAACCTCAAGGTGATTGACTGTGGCATCCATGAGCTCTTCTGAGAACGGCGGGTTAACCTCAAAGGAACCAGCCACCGGGAAGAACTTCAAGATGGATCTGAGGCAGAAAAGAGCATAAGGTAATGTCTGCGACAGCTTAGCTCAAAGGAAGAGAAAGAAAAAAAAAACGGCACAAGTCAGTGAGTTTTGAATGCTCTCTATACAGTATAAGCTCATTACAACAGACCCGGTTACAACAGACATTTGGATATAACATACCGATTTGTGTAGTTTGGTTGGTTTTCCTCCACATACCATTGACTCAACTTCATATCTACGTACAACTTATATACTCCTTTTACAACAGACCGAAATCTTGGTCACAATCAAGGTCTGTTATAACAAGCTTAGACTGTAATAAGTGAACAAATGCAGAAAGTAGAGGGCCAGGATTAGAATTTAAAGAGCTGATGAGTTCCAGTACAAGCAAGGAAACTACTAGTGACGGGCCAAACTTTTGCCGAATCAAAACTTCGGCACCGAATCTTAGGATTCAGCAAAGCCGAATCATTGCCGAGCTTTTCTAAAGATTCGGAAAAGATTCAGCAAAGATTCGGCAGAAATACATTGTCGCCAGACCTAAAAGTTCATATTTCGTTTTTCCAGGCAGAAAAGAGTTTTCGATTTTTTTAAAATGCATTGTAGGGTGCAACGCACCCACAGATCCATTCTTCTCATGAAAATAAAAGAGATGGCTCGAGGCGCAGCACGCGCACGCGCCTCGGAGAGCGCGTGCAAGAGAATGCTCTGAAGCCGCCATCACAGGCAGACAAGTCGTTCGCTTGTCTCGTTCTATGTCCTCACTTTAAATAACGTGGCAGGGCCTCGCGGCCCCCCACATATTTGGTAACCCGTATTTGGTATTTGCCTACGTTGACGACTTGTTGGTCGCTAGCTCGACAACGGAGGAGCACACCAACCACCTCCGTCTTCTTTTCCAAAGACTCTCAGACCACGGCATCATCATCAACGCCGCAAAAAGTGAGTTCGGGAGATCAGAACTCGAGTTTCTGGGACATCGACTGGACCGACACGGCATCAGACCTTTGCCGTCGAAAGTGCAAGTGATCAGGGACTTTCCAAGACCTAGCTCGATCACAAAGCTTCGCCAGTTCCTCGGCCTGGTAAATTTTTACCGCCGGTTCATTCCGAACTGCGCGAGGCTACTCCAGCCTCTTGATTTTCTACTAGCCAAGACTGCACGTGCCACTACCAACCTGCCTTGGAGTGAAGACGCGGAGCAAGCCTTCTGCGAAGTAAAGACTGTACTTGCAGACGCTGTACTTCTGCGACATCCACAACACGATGCCAGAACCTCGATCATGACAGATGCTTCAGCTACGGCTGTTGAGGCGGTCCTACAACAACAGGTGGACGGTGAATGGCAGCCCCTAGCTTTCTTTTCCAAGAAGTTAAAGCCCGCCCAGACCCGCTACAGCGTCTTTGGAAGAGAACTGCTCGCAGCGTACTTGGCCGTCCGGCACTTTCGACACTTTGTCGAAGGTCGCCCCTTCGTCATCTGGACGGACCATAAACCACTCACCTACGCCATCCGCAACTCAAGCTCTGTCTATACCCCTCGAGAGATCCGCCAGCTGGCCTTCTTGTCGGAGTTTAAGACGGACATCCGGCATATCAAAGGGAAATCAAACATCCCCGCTGATGTACTGAGCCGAATTGACGCCGTACCTTCGCCTGCTCCGCAACTCGACATCACGTTGCTGGCTCGTCATCAGGCATCCGACGAGGAGCTACAGCAGCTCCGCACATCAAACAACTCTCTCCAGCTAGAAGATGTTGAGTTCCCAGGAGGCATCACCATCGTCTGCGACACGTCCACAGGAACGCATCGCCCATTCGTTCCGATGGCGCTACGAAGGCCGCTCTTTGATGCCATTCATTCGTTGTCGCATCCCGGCGTGAAGGCAACACAGAAGCTAGTGGCCAATCGCTACGTTTGGCCTCGGCTGAAGTCCGACGTGCGTGACTGGGTGCGGACCTGCTTGGCATGTCAACGAGCCAAGGTTCACCGTCATTCCGTGCCTTCATCCACGAGCTTCCTGCCACCAGATGCCCGTTTCGAAAAGGTCCACATCGACCTGGTCGGGCCCCTTCCGACATCTCAAGGGCAACGATACATCCTGACCTGTAACGACCGCTTCACAAGGTGGCCGGAAGCTACACCATTGCCCGACATGACTGCAGCCACCGTCGCCGAGGCATTCGTCTCGTCCTGGGTGGCGCGCTTCGGATGCCCATCTGAAATCGTCACCGACAGAGGGCGTCAATTCGAATCCAACTTGTTCACCGAGTTGTCCCGAATCCTAGGCATGACGAGATCTCGGACAACTGCATACCATCCGCAGTGTAACGGCCTGGTGGAAAATTTCCACCGACACCTCAAGTCCGCGCTCATGGCCCACGCGAACTCCAAGGAATGGGTACAACAGCTTCCACTCGTCTTACTCGGAGTTCGAACAGCGTTGAAGCAGGACCTCGGCTGTGCAACCTCTGAACTCGTCTATGGGACGGCCCTCCGATTACCATCGGACTTTTTCGAGGTCGACCCGTCTCCAAACACGAGGCCAGAAGACTACGCCACAAAGCTGAAGGAGGTTTTTTGCAGACCTACGACCAGTTCCTACGCGCGCGGTATCTGCCAAGACTCCTTACGTCTCTCAGGACTTGTACAGTGCAACGCATGTGTTCGTGCGCCAAACAGCCAGACGGAAACCGCTCCAACCACACTATATGGAACCGTTCCCGGTTCTGGAAAAGAAGCCAAGTGGCTTCGTTGTACAGATCAATGGACGACGAGACACCATCGCTCTCGAGCGTCTAAAGCCAGCCCATCTCGAGCACGCACCCGTGAACCTCATCACATGCGAGACGCGCGAGGAAAGTCCGAAGTCTCGCAGGAAGTCTGCTCAAGTTCATTGGACAAACTCATGGCCAGAGCTAGCGCCCTAATTGTGTGTTGTCGTTGTTCTTTTCGTTTTCTTTAATTGCTCGTTGGGGCTCCTCGCTAAGGGGGGGCATATCTGTAGGGTGCAACGCACCCACAGATCCATTCTTCTCATGAAAATAAAAGAGATGGCTCGAGGCGCAGCACGCGCACGCGCCTCGGAGAGCGCGTGCAAGAGAATGCTCTGAAGCCGCCATCACAGGCAGACACGTCGTTCGCTTGTCTCGTTCTATGTCCTCACTTTAAATAATGTGGCAGGGCCTCGCGGACCCCCACAGCATATTGACAGAGTTGTTACTAAATAAGGTGATACTCTACAAGATAAATGTATCAGTGTCATTCTTGTGTGTTTACTGGCAATTTACAGTGACTTTTTCCAGAAGTGGTGTGACAATGAGGTTGGGTGGTAGCGGTGTAGCGGATGCAGTCACGATACGCGAGTTTCGGTTTGGGGCCTTATCAGCGCAAGCCTGCAAGTGTGTTTGTACATTGTTGAAATAAAGGCAATAGCACTGTGTTCTTCCTTACTCTGCGAGTCACCGTTTCGTGCACGAAAATGAGTGCAATGGCTGCTGAGCCTTCACCAGAAGAGATAACAATGTAATTGTAAATATGCACTTTTTTTTTTTTTCTTTTGAATTTGAGTAATTTTAGCTTTGCATGAAAGTTGTACGTCTCATATTCGCAACATATCGTTAATAACTTTTAAAATTCTGGTTTCTGATGTTAGGACACATGCGGACGTTTAGGAGTTAGGAATGTTGGATGTGCAATGTCGAGCATGACAGTTTGTGTTTAATTTTATGTGGTCAGATGAAAACCGTGAAATAATGCTAATTAAAAAGCAATAATATTTTGTTTTGGCACAAACTACTTGTGAGCCGAGAACAGGATTGCTACAATGGCGACGAGTGCTTTAAAAACCTTGTCAGTCAATGTTGCAACTACCTCGTGCATCACTGGAAATATCAAATGAAAATCATATTATCCGGACTGTACCGCATCATTTGTCACCTGCACAATAGACTGCGTCACTGGCCGATCTTCTGTTCTTGAGGCAGAAAATATTTACGAAAACCACACTCACAAAGGCTGAAAAACACACAGTGAACCTATACTCAGCACCTGAACGTAACCGCTGGTAGCACTGTACGATGGTAACCGCACAACCGCACGGCATCCATTTGCAAATCCATGGCTCCGCGGCCCCGTCGCGTTCTCACACGTGCGCAGGCGTTTGTCAAAGTCTTGCCGATCCTTTGTTGAACTTTCCTTCAAAAGTTCGGCATATGCCAAACTTCGCCAAATCTGAAGTTCGGCAGATTTGGTCCATCACTAGAAACTACCGTAATAAACCACTTTTCTTTAGGCAGCACCAGGATTCTGCACAATACAGAGCATTATCGCCTATAGCATTTGTTTTATTAAACAGGCTCATATTATACAAGATAATCTTTTGCTATTTGACCTGAGGAAGGCTTTTTATTTTAGATAATTTAATTGCTGATGCTTCTTGTCATCAGGAGAGAAAGTCACTCTACTGGCACTAGAAAAAGGCCTCAACTGAGTGAATTCCCTTAGTAAGCAAGGGTTTGATAACTATGAAACATACAAAAATTTCTTGTAATTTTTTGCTATAGTAAACTATTAGTTAATTAAGTTTCACTTCCAGTGAGCTATTTTACTCAGTCCCCCTAGCTCATAAAAGGAAGTGTTACTATATTCACATTCCCAGAATGCACCTGTTAATTAGGAGCACGATTAATTGTTGAAGTGACAGATGAATTTCAGCCTCTCCACTCTGATAGGACCTTGTTTTCATTTTCTTAGAACAGAGAGTGGAACTAAATCTTCCCGCCGCATCCATCGCACACGAATAGGTAGACGATGCAGCCCAAGGGAAAAACACTCACCCTCGAGATCCAAAGAAGCTGTCTGTGTCGGGGAATGCGGAGCAGTACTGCCTGAAGTAGCAGTTCAAAGGAGATGCGAAGCCTTCGAAGGTGACGCCAAAATGCTTGTGGAGACACTCAAACACAGAGACAGGCAGAGAGTTCTGTGTGCCGTGGCCCTCGTTTGACGAGAGGCCCAGGTAGGTCTGCGAAAGAACAACAGAAATGCAGCTCATGACACTTCGCAGCCACTTGTCAACTGATACTGACAAAAACTGGCAGCATACATTGGTGTTCGTAAGCAGTCATGCTTATTTTCTGTCTTCACTCAAAACAGGTGCGAAGCAGGTAAGCGATTTCGCACAAACTTGTGCAGCCCCAAATTGCTCTGGTATGCGACAAACTTAACTTTTGTTGTAGTTTGGTATGCTTAGTATGCAACCAGCAGTCTTGCGAGTACTACGGGAGTTCAGTAGAACCTCGTCGATATGTCTTCCATTTAGACATGTTCCTGGTCGCTACATTAACGACTGCCGGTCCCGTTGAACTTCCATGGGGATATTTGTATCATATTTTTCTGTTTGTTGTTTGCTTTCCAGGCTGCTATGCCCACAAACTGCCCACCCCCCCCCTCCCCCCAACGAAGCCGACGTTGTGCGTTCAGCCGCCTAGCCACAGCTGCCCCTCTCCCTCTTGCTCCACCTCATTTTTGCCTCTATGCACTGTACTCTTTGCTCGGACAGGCATGACCCTGGACTACGCTTGAAAAGGAATCAGGAATTGTCAATAGCCTAACTATCTTTTCATCTCCTTCTACAGCACAAGTGCAAACTTGAGTTGTGCCCTTGGTTGCAATAGCCACTGATCCAAATGCCAAGGAGGTTTTTCAGCTGTCCCACCAGGAGCGTGACCTTTGAAAAAGCACGCGCAGCCAAAACAGGACAGAAGGCAATGAGCACGTGCCAGAGGCTGGGCTTCCAAAAGAGACATTGTATGCGTCTTGTCCTGTTAGCAACGTTTCCTGGTCTTGTCAGAAACTATAGTTTCCTATCACACTGGCCATTGCGGTACTGTGGCAAACCGAAGCTCTAGTTTTTAGGGAGAATTTTGTGCAAACATTTGACAGCATCTCTAGTCATCCTAGCTAAAAGTCACTTACGACTGTGCTGGCGTGAAGATGACGTTTTGTGCAAACATTTGACAGAAGATGACGTCACCCCTGTTACGAACAATGAGTTAAAAAATCACAAAACAGTTTGGTTGGTGGCTGCTGTGATAAGACAAAGCCACAGTGTCCTACTTCTGATCAGATCACACGATTATGATGTCAACCACGTGCCTTCACGTCATGGAACTCGTGCAAAGACGTGAAGCTCACGACAAGCTTCACGGCTTCGCTTTGGCGCATGCGTCGAGCTTCACCGTTCTGCACCAGCGCGGGAGTCAAACTTCACCGCTTTACACCATTGCGCTAGGAACAGTGGCCCACGTGTGGGGGAGCATCTAGGTTAGCTCGATGGGCTCGGAAATAATTTTCTCACACTTAGAAGACTTGAATAAGTATGACTCTTCTCCAAAGCTGCAAAAGCCTACATGTAGACCTTTCCCACAAGTAAGCGACACATATATTGCTAGTATCCGGCGGCGCGCTCAAGCATATACCGCGACTATGCGTTTAAGCACTCCCGTGCGAAGTCCAACCGCCGAGCGAGGGACCGAGGCCGCTCCCACGGATCAAGTTACACGTAGACGGCTGTTACCAGGGGAGCCTCCACAGAGCAGACTCTCTCAACCTACGGCGCAGCGTGCATCTCGCTGCGCCGTAACACCTGTGTGGCGACGGTAAACAAAAACCTCAGCCTGTGTGGCGACAGAAGAACGTGAACTCAGCCTGTGTGGCCACCCCAATCGCACTAAGTATTAAACGTCACTTTTATCTTCTTTTACCAATGTGAGTAGTTTCTTTCGACCTTCCGATCTGGACCAAGACCAAAGAAAGATAACATACATAAAATAAACTGTCGAGTGCTAGTTGCACCCTCATCTACAACCTCCCCAAGAGCGTTATTGGTTGTTACGTTTCCCCTGCTCATGCACATTCTTTTTACCGTGGTCCCCTGAAAATATATCAACAAAGTTCTACTGACAAACTCGACACACCAAGTAGGCGCCTTAACTCTGCCAACAAAGTACCACATTTACTCAAGTAAAAGACACATCGCTTATAAACATCTCCACTTTCTCACGGAGTACACAAGTAGCCAATCATTGCGATTCCCAAAAGGAGTCCAGCGACTTATGGGACGGAGGTAATGTTTTTGTGCAAAACTCTGCGAAAGTTGCATTTTTTGTGACCTTGTTATTTGCTATGTTTCTTATGTAGAATGCAATGATTGGCTGTTTGTTTGCTATGTGGGAAAGTATAAGTGTGGGCCTTGTTCACAAACAGTGCAGTTTTTACTCGGGCAAATACGGCATCATATTTTTTAGGGTGTAAGGCACATCTATAGACCTTTTCTGTGTACTCTCGTCCCCATTCACATAATAGGCGTATCCGGTATGGGCATTGAAAAAATACTAAAACGTTTTAACCTGTAACTAGTAAAAAAATAAGGGGGAGGCAAAACGATAATGTGTGACGGTTACGCTTATATCCTAAGTGTCTTCTACTGGCGTGGCGACGACAAAACAATGTTTTCGTCCATACTGGAAGTGACGACAATTCAAGATGGCGGCGCCCTTGAGGAAAGGGTCTATACACCAACACAAGCTTCATATGTCACACTGGAGTTGCAGGACCACCTGTGGCACAGTGCAAGAGCATGCTTCTCAACCCTAGCAAAGTTGGTTTTGGTGTAAGTCCTGTGCCCATGATAGTGGATGTCAAACATCACATCTTTTTCATTCAAACCGGTACACATGAAGGATGTGTTACAAAGTGGTGTGACAAACCCGGAAGACTTCCATGGGTACAAAAGGATTATAATGATGTCTACCACACTTTGAAAGAATCGTAACTAAGCCACCGAAGCACAAACTTGAAATATTTTATTTTTAAATAATATACCAAGACTGACTACATATACTACATATTTACTCTAAAATCAAACATAAAAATGGAATATAAAATAATTTTGGAAATGAAAGACTTCGTGTGAGAAGATAATTTAGTTAAAGTTTTTACATTTGCAATTCAGTTATCAGCTAACCTCAGCAATCAAGGACACCACAAGTAGGCACTACTCTAGATTTTTGAAAACTTGCCCTGTTACCGATTAAAGGTAGGTGTTAACAACAGTTAAGAAACATGCTATGTTTTTCTAGAACACTAAGGGATAGCATATTGGCAACTCCAGTGAACTATAGGGAGAACACAGGTCAGGGAAAATGGTGAACGAAGGAGGTCGTTTTCATTGTTCAGCACGCAAAACACCTTAGATTTCTTGTGTTACCTCAAGCCCCCCCCTTTTTTTTAATTTTATTTTGGGGTTAGGGAGTCGCGCAGAATCAGCAGTGTTCGAGGAAAAGGCGCAGGTTACTGTTCCCACAGCTGGCACTCCCCGTTCTTTCTACATGCGCGCGCGTGTACTCTTCCCCTTGCTTTTGCCATCCTTCACTTTTTTTGCGTGTTTATTTACGGTTCATTGTTTCTTTTTTTTTTCACACAACTGCTCTTTCGTTGCGTATCGTACCGCGTGTATGCTGACTTGGCAATCTGCCAGCCCCGCAACGCAAGCGATGTGCTCGCCGTGCTCGCCACCGGTGCAACCAAATCGCAGCCGGGCGTCGTTCGCTACATCAAGTATCCCCACCATGGGAGTTCGATACAAAAAGACAAAGCTCCTATAGTATTACCTGTGATTTTCAAGGGGATGTTTGAACTGTTTGATATAAAGAATAATTCAAAATACCCGAGTGTGATATAACTGGGCTCGACTGTAGAGCTATGCTGCCTACGAGAACCAAGTAGCAAAAGCAGACGACAAAGGCGAAACAACCTTCTCTCAAGGCTCATTCACACGGTTACGTCGAATGCGTTGCTTCATCCAGCACAGCACCTCCCATTGGCTCGTGTAAGGGCCGCCATAGCAACAGCCCGACACAAGCAGTCTGAACGCAGTCAGACGCAGTCAAAGGCAACTGCATGAACGAGCCTTTAGAAGTTCTCGGCATTGCCGCTATGCGGTGTCAATTTCACTCCAGTCGCCAATACCCTCACTGGTCCCAGTGCTTTGGTTATTCAACTGACCTTTGCAATGCATCATGAAAATTTTTGACAAAACTCAAATGTACAGAACCAGATAAAAATAACCTTACTGGTTCAATAGATTGCAAAAGTGCAATGGTACCTGGTATCTCTTCAGCATGCACCATACTCGTGGTAGGAAGTTTTCAAACTTCCTGTCATCTGTACAATTCCACCTGTACAACTGCTCCTGTAACAGAAGGTGGCACACGTTCAACCCAAGGTCCCGCTTTGTAAAGAACACTACGCGAGTTGGCTAAAACATGACATCGGTGATTTCTTGCAATTTACTCACACAGGCTAGCATCGAGTGCTACGCTTTAGCACCCGAGGTGGGTGCCACACATAAGCAGATTCTACCAACTTGCACTTTCAATGGCAGCCTCCTAATTGCACAAGATAAAAAAAAAAAAAAAAAATTGAGAGCCCTTCTATTTTATGAAGGGGTAAGTCCAGCTGGCACTCTGGTCAGATTTGCTACGTCGAAGCTGGGAGCAGCGGCAACGGCGATTTCACGTTGGCGGCGTGCCTATTCTCGCTTCTGGGCGAATTGACGCTCCTCATACTCCCGCTGCTCCTCTTCGGAACGTACAACAGGGGTGCGACCCATGTGAAGTCTGAAGTCCAACTGATAAGGACAGTGGCGCGATCTACGGCAGGTGGCCGGCAAGAGCGCGCGGTATTGCGCAATATCAGGGGGGAGAGAGACGCCACATGTGGAAAAGGCATGCGCGTGCGGCGCCGGCGTCTGCAGTAGTAACTGTTTTAAAGCAAAAGCCTAAAGCAAATGGAAGCTTGCACGCGTGCTCAACACTTCATTTTGGTTATTTACTTTGTACCTTTTATACGGGGAAGGCGTGCGCATGCAGCGTCGGCGTCTGCAGCATCAACTGTACAAAACTGTTGGTCTACACTCGGTCTGACCCCGGAGACAATCTGCCAGAACCTAGCCATAGACAGCTTCGCTGTAAAAAAATTAGTGAGCCTGCCAGACATTCTCTTCAAAGTCAAATGAAATAAAATTTATATGGCATCCATGTTTACAAGAATGCAGCTTGACTGGGTCTGCAGTCTGCAACCTAACCCCCCCCCACAATAAACTTTAGCAGAGAGGGCATATGCAATTGCATGTCAAGAAATTTGCCATTCTGTAACACACTCTCCCAGCTGTAAAGTTCTTGAAAAATCATGAGCCATTCCACAATGTGAAGGCGGATGAAGAGCGAAGCTGTTTAGCACACGACAGAGACATGACACAGAATTTTGAACAAAGGTACAAACACATTTATTGTCTTGATCGGTGGTCATCGCGACGAAAGGTACGCACACACGTTTCGAGGACTATCGCCGCCCAAGAAACCAGAGGAAACTATAGTCCGTTGCAACTAAAAAACAAAGGGTGAGGGTAAAACAAGCCGAAAAGGAGGAAGCAGACAGAACGCTAAAGGGAGAAGGAGGTTTCCCTCTCTCTTCTCCAGGGTTCCGTCTGCTTCCTCCTCCCTGGCCTGTCTTACCCTCGCCCTTCGTTCTTGAGTTGCAACAGACTATAGACACAAGCAACAGGACCGCCACCCGGCAAAAGGAAAGGAAACTAGGCACGCAAGCGCTTGGAACGACGATAAAGAGAGGGCAGTGCAAGCCCCCTCTGAGTTTTTGCTGACGCACACGAAAAATCCACGGAACCTTAGTGATAAACAGCTTCGCTGCAAAAAAAGTTATCCTAGATATTCAGCGATGAAGGAAGAAAGCTCTCACCAGCTTCTGGAAGTACAGCGTGTGAATGCGCACCAGCTCTCCCTTGTAGCGCAGCAGCGTGCTGTCCTTGTCTGTAAGGACCTCAATGGTAGGCAGCCGAGGAGACGTAATGGCAAACTGAACCGGGTAGCAGAACACCTTCTTGGGATTGCTCACGTGCAATGGGCTTGTGATCTCTGCACAAAACAGAGAAAGGTCTCGCTTACCGAATTCATGCCAAATCTACCACTCTCCTGCACAAGCACGCATACGGTAGTTTCGGTTTCCTAGAAGCCAATTTGCACAGCTCGTACGGAGGGCAAAATTTATTGCACCTATGCACTCAATGATAGAAGAAAATTAACATTACCCCGAATATCCCAAGATAGCCCACTTAAAATTGAAGCCAAATCGGGTGAAAATAAAGACTAGGCTACCTCAAAATGTGCAATAAAAAAAAAAAAGGTTTCTTTTTTTTTTAAAGATTTTGTGATTGGCAAAGGCTTGCGATTGTAGGGAGAGGCGATGAACCAAAAACGACTGTCCCCCAGTCAGCAGTGTTCACTCATCTTCTGCCGTGGATAAATAACACCATTTCTGTCGATGTCACCATTGGCCAGGGCCCTGCAATTACTGAAAGTGGGCTAGTTTTTTGTGCTTTTAAAAAGAATAGCAAATCATGCCAAAAATTAGAGTGGGTCATCTTTCAGGGGTGGAGCATCTCTTGCGATATTACGGTAGTCACCAATAGATCCTTATATTTCAGGGTAGTCACCATTCTTGTGGAAATGAAATTGAATGAAGACCATCCCATTGTCAGAGACATTGTAAAATGGCTGAGTGCAATCTGCTGATGGTGGGGTTCAGGGCTGCATTTGGTTGTCATTTCTGTCTACCTGGGAATAACCGCTGAAATGTGAGGAGCAAACAATGTGGCAGGTCCTTATTTCCGGCTATGTGGAAGTGGGAGGAAAGCAACCATAGAGTGCAGATGTTTATTCAAGTTCTTTTTGCTAGCACTCCAACTTAAGGTCATCCCTTGAAACTCAAGTTCAAGGAGCTAATGTCGTTGCACCACTTCTTTCACGGCAAGATGTTCTCACTAACACAAAATTTCAAAGCTTTAAACATGAAGAGAGAAGTTAGATTTGTGCCAAACCTTCACAAATGAGTTGTGGACACAACAGTACAGTGACCTACTGGTCAATAGTAAGGGCTTTGTTTTAGCAGGGCGGAGGGCAATTTACTAGATGGAGAAAACTTCTTTTCAGCAAAGTTAAGGATGATTTCGATCCAAGTGTTCACTTGTAGAACCCTGCATAGGGAATACAAAGGACTTCTGAGGGGCTACAGTTGCTTGGTTATTTAGACCATCTTGGAAGAAAGCCAGACAAAATGCCTGGCAATATCAGTTTTCCTCAACTTACTATAAAATCGTACAGCCCTTCCACTTCACATGAACATGGAGGACGAGCGAAGCTGACATTTTTACGTCTAGGACGATGCCTAGAGGACGACATCAGGGACGACTTCTAGGACGACCTCGAGGACGACGCCTAGAGGAGGACGACAAGGTGGACCTCGAGGACAACGTCTAGGAGGACCTCAAGGATGACTTCTGGAACGACCTCAAGGACGACGTCTAGAACGACCTCAAGGACCACTTCTAGGACGACCCTCAGGATGATGCCTAGAGAACGACGCCTAGGACGACCTCAAGCACGACGTCTAAGATGACCTCAAGAACAACTTCGAGGACGACTAGAGGACGACCTCTTGGACGACGTCTAGGACGACCTCAAGGACGACGTCGAGGACGATGTCTAGGACAATCTCAAGGACATCGAGAACGCCGCCTAGGACGACCTCTCAAACAACCTCAAGGATGACTTCTAGGATGACCTCGAGGACGATGCCTAGAGATAACAAGGGACCATCTAATAATGCCAAGGAAACCTGCATAGGGAATGCAAAAGAAATTCCCTATGCATAGGAAATGCATAGGAAATACAACCACGCTGGTTGCCCCCTTTTTATTTTTATTTATTCATATTTTTCACAACCAATGGGAAGTTTCTGTCAACATCCGCAGACTAATTTTTTCCCAGATCCTAGCGCATAACAGCTTCGCTGTAAAAAGGAGTTTGTAATGTTCATTCTTTTTCTATAAGAATTTATAAACAAGTAACATTTTCCCAGTTATGTTTATTTTGCAAAAAATGTGCTCCAGTGGTCACTTTTTTCTTCAAAAGATAGCAGTCAAACGCTTTTATAACAAAGTCTACGGGACTGTTGAAATTTTTTGTAGCACAAGTAACTTCGTTGTACACTCAAAACTGTTTATATCGAACTCAAAAACAATTGTCTACCAGTTCAATATAGCAGATAATTCAATATAAAAGTTTTAAGGAATTTGACAACAAGCAAGCATGCCACATTTCGAAAAGTTGTTTACTCTCAAAGGAGCGTCTGCACGTCATGAGGGATGCACAACGCGGCTATTCGGTGACTGCTTCTTCGTTTTGCAGGGTCTCACAGGCTCACCCTTTCCCTGCTCCCTCCGCAAAAAATAACTTTTTTTTTTTTTTTTTTAGACAAACAGGCGGTTGCTTGGAAAAAAAAAAAGAATGCTAGCTTGCAGACCAAAACGGCACTATTGCAGTTCAATCTATCGGGAGAAGTTGCAATATTGTTTGATGTTAACTGTTTTTTCGCTATGCATTTTCATTGTAGCTACTAGTCTGTTCAAAAATACAGTCGATGTATGTAAAGTGTAACTGCCCAGCATACGACAAAAAACAGTCCAGCGGCGCGTGCTTGCAAGGCCGGCAGGCGAGGTACAAGTTAACATACAGAAAAAAAGAACCTGAGCGCATCGACGTGGGACAAGTCAGAATCAAAACGTTCTTGGAGCGCTTTCTGCAACGACTGAACTCGAGACAAACAAGCGCGCTGTGCGGGTTCAGCATTCAGACATTACCTTCTTTACTTTAGCTCATTTCTCTTCACTAACTTTCTTGCGCGACAGATTTTTCATGTACCGGGGTCCCTCTCGAAAAAAAGCCAACCAAGAGAAACCTAGGTAATGAATACTTCCACCCAGCAGTCTTTGATTTAAAAAAGGGATTTTTGTAGTAGCATACGTTTTAAACAAGAACAGATATGTTGATGAACATGCGGCGTCCTTATGTTTCAGTTCAGGAAGCTCCATAACTGTAGCGACGCGCGGACTGGCAGGCAGGCACCAAATACAGTTTTCTCACGGCCGTTGTTTTCAGAAGCGAGTGCTTCAAGCTCAAAAAGTAACTCCCTCCGCGCAAAAACGTAATTTCGTTTCACAGTGTGACGGCATGGCTGGTACCCAGCACGTTAGCGTCGAAGCGTCCGCACACGCCCGCATGTATCATTGCAAAAATTAAAAAAAACAAATAAAAAATAAACGCGAGACGAGATTTACGAGACGACGAGAGCGCGAAAGAAGACGGCGGGAAAAACCATGCGAGACCGGATGGACGATTGATGTAACTAAAGCAAGGGTGCAGGCGAGCTGGTTCAATACTGACATTGGAGTTTTCTGCCTGTCCTACGTCCCTTCTTTTCCCCGGCTCCAGGGTTACAATGTCACGATTGATGCAGGGTACTTTGTGTCGGGTGGCCGCTTGCGCCACCTAGCTCACGCAGGCTCAATTACGGTACTCAGTTTAGTTTCGGTTTGAAAGGCGACCAAAACTGGTCCTTTGGCGCAGGTTTGGCGCAGATTACCCATATTTTGGCAAAATTTAGCAGGATGTAGCAGGGTTAGCCCCTTGGCGCAGTTTGGCGCAATTGGCGCAGCAATCACATCACTGCAGAGATGCGGGGAAACTTGAACTTAATTTAACATATTTTTGTATATCAAATTATTGATATATTGAACTATTTTACGATCCCTTTTGAATTCAATATATCCGGGTTCGACTGTAGTTCGATACAAGGGATAGTCAAAATATAACCGGGTTCGACATAGACAGGTTTGATTGTAGTAGTTGAGAGCAAAAAATCAATCACGCTAAACCGAATATGTGCTATCGCATATTGACGCATCTGCACGACATTCGAGGTGCTTTAGGGAACAGTATAGCGCTAAATATAGTATGGGCGACATCAGAAACGAGGTTTCGTACGTTGACAATTGACTTATCAAAAAAGGGAACAATGGCCGAGTCTGCTAGTGCATCACAGCTCGGAGTATGTGGGGTGAAAGCTATTGCAACAATTAATCAGCTTAAGTTATTGTTGTGTCCCTGTTTTATGGCGCATATTAAAGAATCATGTACCAACTAGCCCATCTCTTCATTTTAATGCAGCTTTCCGTTTTCTCTGGCACACACACTTCTGTTGTGCTCCGTCCCCCTGGTTCTGCTAGTTTTATTTTGTGTGGAGTTGGGAGTTTGTGGTATTGGCAATTACAGCATCATGGACAAGGAAGGCTTGCACATCTTTGTACAAAAGTTCGCAGAACCTCTTATTTTACAGCGTTCCTAGTCACTTTAGCTAAAACTTGCTCGTCAGACTGCACTGGCCACGTCATTGACTAAACTTCTAGACAATATAATGTGACGAGCAACGCGCTAGAAAGTTGCAAGGAGACGCTTCACAAAACTGCTGGATGGTGGCTCCTGTGATGAAACAGAGTCAGACTTTACTCCTGAAAAAATTGCTTGGTTTCTACATCAATCACATGCCCCCAAACTGATGCAAAAAGGTTGTGCCACTTGCATCACAGCTCGCACCGGTGTGCTAGGGGCAACGACTGGCATGGGAGAACATTTTCATTAGCTCAAATTTTGCTCATTCTTATAAGTTGACATTCTTTAGTCACAATTATGGCTAAACCCCCAATGTAAAAAAAACAGTGAAAAAAAAAAAAAAAAAAGAAAGCTGCTGATTTGCTGACTTATATTTTAATAAATATGCTAAGTCTCCACACTGATGAAGGTTCGCTTGAAATAAACTGTGTAGGAGTTGCTTTCTGCATCTTCTATAGCTCCCTCCAAGTGTCATCGGCTGTTGTTTCTCCGGATCATATGCTTCTTTATCAAGGTACCACGCAGAACATCAAAGGATTCTACTGTATAACAATTTGAACCCTGCATTGATTCTAACCATCATGATCAGATCTAAGACCTATCAATAAAAAATATTCTTTAATTAAAACTTCAGTAGACGAAAACTTACCAACAATTTTATAAATCTGAATACAATCAATCTTCATACATTTCCCAAGTCGGCTCCTTAAAAGTAACATGTGTGGACAGGACAGACAGCTCGAACTTGTGCTGACCTTCAATGCCATGCTGATTGAGGATGGCCCAGTGCTTTTCTCTTATCTTCTTGGCGTTTTCAACGGACATATGGAAAATCTTGGCACAAATCCCTTCAACTGAGGAGCGGGCAGCTTGTACCAGGTGAGGCTGACACTGCTTCTTTAGGTGAGCCAGCCTTTCCTGCAGTAATGATACAATCAACTCTCAATAATTAAAATTAAAAAAAAACCTACCGTAGTATTTTGAGAAACAGCCCACCTAAAAGCGAGAGCAAATTGGGTAAAATAGAGGAGTGGGCTATCTTTCCGTGTTTTTTTCGAAAGAATAGAAAATCACACCAAAATAGGGGTGGGTTAACTTTTTGGGGCGGGGCATCTCTCGGGATATTACGGTACGTACACACTGAATTAAAGAAAGAATCATTCTAAAACCACACCTTTTTTAGTAGCACTCGCTTATAAGATAAAGTAACATTCAGGGAAAGTTTCTGTGTCTCCAGAGCATCTGGGGCTTCTCAGCACTATGAATAAAACCTTCAAATTAGCCAGGTCCGGAGGTGTAGCCTTCAAATTTCCATGGCACCATTTATACCATTATACCAGGACTGCAGCCCAATTCAAATTAACGTATTTTGTATTTTCCAAAGTATAAGTAGCATTTCTTTTTTTTCTCATAAACTTTCCACAGATGCGTCTCACACAATGGTGCGACATATACATGTTTTTTCCTATTAGTTTTCCTACCGTAAATTATATTTCTCGTTTGGTTCGTCGGTGAGGATATTGAAATTGACCCCCGCTCGTACACATATTGCGATCAAAGTACACATATACGGGCCTATCGACGCAGTTTCGTCATGCCTATCGTACAAATATATATAAGCACGACTAGCACACAAACATTTAGGTGAAAACAGCCGTTTAAAGGGGGGCTGTGATCTATATAACAGTCTGACATATAGACTAGAAAATATGGTTTTGGGAGTCGACAGTATGACAGCACTCGTAGTCAACAAGCCTCCTTGTAGCAGGTATCGACAGAAGAGTCATTCATACCAGGTGGTCGTCGTACGTGGCATTGAGGGTCTTCCGTAGCCAATGAAATGCATCCTCGACGTTCCATTTCACAATTTTGCGACTCTCGGGACTTGCGTTCCTGAAGCAAAAAGAACAAATACTTGCGAGTTTTCAAGCAGCTTACCACAACATTGATGCCAGTGCTGTAAAGGTTTCACAAGCATTTATAAGATATTGTGTCTAAAGGTGCTGTCAGAAGCATGTTTGTACCTCTTGATCCTTTCAATTCCAGAAAATCGCTTGGGGCATGCTTAAATACGACACAATTTCTCGAAGAACAGACAAAAGCAATTTTAGCTGTCGTGAGCCCACTGGCTCGAGCGATGAGCTGAAAAAGGCCAAATGGCAAAATAACTTCTATACGTGTGAATTCCCAACAAGGTGGCACGCATTCTCCTGCCTTGTACGGAGGTACAAGTAAAAATCTTGTAGGAAGACGAATTCAATCCTTTTTAACACTACCTATACAGTCAAACCTGACAACAACAAACTCGGGTGCAGCGAAATAACCCCTATATCGAACATGCAAAAATGTTTGATCAGTATGCATGCAAAAAATATCTCGCATAACGTAACTACAGTATGGATATATCGAATTTCCAGCGCCTACGACCACCAACAAACATACGAGCTCCGGCACTTCCGGCATTCGGCCTCTTTGCAATGCAGATGAAGGTTTTTCCTCGCCCGGCATGAAGTCTCCACTTAGTTACGCTTAGTCACGCCCTAGCGGCGCTGTAGTGCAATATCAAGTTTCAAATTTCGTAACAACCATGGCGCTTTTTAACCAATCAACTCCGCCGGTACCGGTGGTTTTGGAACGGACAGAATTTGGGAACGCACACAGTAAATGCACTGCAGACCGAGCCTCAGCATTGTAAACTTCGCTTCCCTAGGCCTCCTGCAACTTGCCATTTTGTTTTGAAATCTGGTGTGGTTCACGGTTCATGACGACAAAGCAGCGGCACGCTCTTCAGCTCTCGGACTGAGAGGACATCATTACTGGATAATACGCCGAAACAACAAAGACAAAATGAAGAACTTTTGATTGAATAATTTTATTATTCAATCAAAGATCAAGGTTTATTTAAGAAAACATACAAAAAAATATAAAAAAATAAAAACCAACACGTGCTGGCAGAAAACAGTAAGATAAGGCCTAAACAGGTCTAAACACACACTCCAGGAAACCAGCATTACTGATTCCGCATATAGTGAAATTCTTTGTCGGACAATAACATTTGCCATGTCGAATGCAGTGAAAAAAAATTGAACATTGCCGCTGCCTTCAACATATCTAGGAGTATGTTACGCACCCTCTGCATATAATGAATAAATTGTTTTGCTATAAGCCGGTATTGCTATAACGAATTATTGGGTACATCGAACAAAACCGGGCATTTTATACAGTTCGTTATAAATAGGTTTGACTGTATACACTATAGTAAGTTACAGCTCAAGAATGTAGGGCAAGGGAAAGGAAGGCTAGAGAGGAAGAAGCAGACGGAACGCTGAAGGGGAGGGGGGATGTTCCATCCACTTCCTCCTCCCCAACCTTCCTTTCCCTCGCCCTACCTTCTTGAGTTATAACGGACTTTTCAAATATCCCTCTGAAGCCGATCCTTCGAAAAGGCCCAGTTCCGCAAAGAGATATGGTTGATGATGATGGGGATGGCACGACAGCTACACTAAGAGATATGGTGGCAGGAAAAAGCAGGGTTAGCAAGACGCCTACCTTGACTCTATCATTTTCTTGGCTGCTTCAGCGTACTTGGAGAGCTGCTTGCGAGCGTCCCCTGCAAACTTGGGACGTACAAGCTTGATGGGGATGTCGTTCATGATCTCGCGGTACATGCACTGGGACACCTCGGGATGGCACGCACTGGGCAGCAGGGGGTCCTGGCCCTTGTCCACAACCTTGCGCTCCATTAGCCACCGGATGAAAGACTCCTTGGGGCACTCAATGCCTGCAAGAAGGGGCACCCAACCAGGCACCATTTCAGAACAGCTTTCTCGCTTATGGAGGCAGCATAATTCAGGCTTGCTTCCATTCCAGGTTAGCCCTTTGCATAGAGCCGTTCTACTTGTTTGTGCCACAACCTGTGCTCTTTAGTACTGTAGAGAGTGACTATGACTTATGCACAAGCCCCCATGATCGTGGTTGAAAAAACCTCGAAACTGCGGGTAAACGACACAATACTAAAAAGCCTCTACTAGAGACTTTTTAGTGTTGTGTCGTTTACCCGCAGTCTCGGATTTTTTTTCAACCATGTGCAATGTACACCAGCTCGTTTGCGCCCTTACATTTTCCCAATGATCAGTTCTGTATATGAAAAGAATTACTTATAAATCAGTTGCAAGTTAATAGTAGTGGTTTCTCTAGAAGACTGAATGCCTTTAGGTACAATTAATAAAATAACGGTCAAAATGCAGGCAAGCTAGAATAAGCTCATCTTCTGCTTGTGTTCGTGATGATGTTGGGAACAAATATATACAAGGCACAGACAAAATTATTTTGTAGTAGAGTTTTGAAACGTTGCCTGTACCCCTTTTTTCTCTTCCACACGTTTCTCTGTTTTCTACCCGTCTTACTGTCACGGTGCCTTTATATACATCAGTGTCAAACATTCCGCTACGCAAAACATATTCACATATAAAAGGCATTTGTTTCTATTTGGCATAAGAACTCAGGAAAAACCACAAAAGGAGTAACCGCAGTGCAGAGTCGTACAACGGCAATGCAGGCTCATGGAACTACAGTAGAAACTTGCTGATGTGTTTCCGGCTGATGCACTTTCCTGGCTGCTATATTCACAAGCACCAGTTTCATTGAACTCCCATAAAGATATGCGTATTAATTCTCCCCATCTTGTGTTTGCCTTTCCAGCTGCTAGACCCAAAAGCTGCCACCCAACAGAGCACATGTGATGCATTGGGTCACCTTGCTGTGGTCACCTACTTCCTTTTGCTCTGCCTCCTTCTTTTTCAAGTTTGCTTCCATGCGCTGTGCTTCTCGTTTCTCTGGCCCAGGTGAGGATGACCTGGGACTAGGCTTGAAAGGAACTCAACTTTTCCCAACAGACCAATCAACTTTTTCTATGGTGCATGCAGGCTTCTGTTTTGCTTGATTGCCCTGGTTCTACTCGTTTCATTTCGCGTAAAGTAGAGTTAGTGCTCCCTGACGATTGTGGCATTGCACAAAAAAGAAGGCTCCCACTTTTAAAAGGTTAAAAACTTTATTTAAAGGCCGACGACCAGACTGGAGATTCTGCAAGGCAGAAGATCCTCCTCACCATGGGGGAGGAGGAAACAGGCAACGGTGGACAGAGTAGAATGGGGAGAGGAGGGAGCAGGCAAAAAGTGGAAAGCGTGAACTGAACGTCAGTTTTTAAGAGCACTGTTAGGTACCCAAGTCAAAACTCACTTATCGACCACGCTGGCTACGTCACCGTCAAAACTTCCAGACAATGACGCAGCCCTTGTCGCGAGCAACACGCTAAAAAGTAGCGGGGAGACATTTCGCAAAATGGCTGAGGGCAGCTGATGTGATAAAACAGACCAAGATTCTCCCACTCCTGATAGAATTACATGATTATAAGGTCATGCATGTGCTGCTGCACTACGGCATTCGCGCCGCATCGCTCGTGTCATGCTTCACAGCTTTGCATCAGTGTATGCCCGTCAAGCTTAACTGGTTTACACCAGCGCACACGTCGAGCTACGTGGAGCTACAGCAAAGCATCTGGGTTAACTCGGTGGGCTCGGAAATCATTCTCACTTTTCTAGATCGAAATTCTTTGGTTACGATTATAGGCGGACTCCAAATGTTAAAAGACAACGCTGCTTCATTTTTGTTTCTGGAAAAAAAAAAACAATACAGTCCTGTTCAGTATTACTTAGGAAGACCACACAACAAATACTACGACCCAATTCTGTCTAAATGTTTCTTAAACGGTTCGGCAAACTTAGGAACGTGCCAAGTTGCCGAAATCGGCTGGATGTAGCAGACGAATTGAGGCACGATCAACAGCACAGTAAAGGCTACGGTGTTGGCATAGCCAACACTGAGCTAAACGTCATGAACATTGCCACTTTTAGTTCATCTTGACTTCTCTGGGCAAGCATACAGTGACGTCAAAAGTACCTCCCCTCAGAATTGGCCAATTGCAATGGCTCAGCAATGTCCATGTGATTCGCCTGATCAGCGTTGTTTGATTGACGTTGTCGTCCTGCCGGCTGTGATTATTGTCTCTCGGAGTTACGTTAACACCCTGTGTGCAGGCCCGATCTCCGACTCCCAGTTGTGACGCCTGACAAAAAAACCAGAGGCTCGCAATGTTGTGTTGATGAAATACCGGGAAGCTCTTCACGCCAACTGACTGGACATTGATATGTTCCAATCACTTGTTGCCAGAGTGCTACGGATGAAATCTGCGCTTGTTAGCCAACACTGGCCTTCCAACGAAGTACACATGTCTTAAAGGGATACTTCAACGAAATTTGAAATATTCCCGTTGTGTTCAAAAATAGGTTGAATATGATCCACAATATCCGTAAATGACAATCGCACGTTTGTATTTTGAGCCTGGCGGCTCTATTTTTCGTTATAAACGGCCCACTCTGGCAAGCGGTCGAAGAAGGCCCAGCGGAGACCATGTCACATCCAACGCAATCGTGACGTAGGTCGTCTCAAGACGAGCAAAGCTACGGCGAGGCTGACGTCGAGAGGATGGCCTAGTTGTTCCAGCCACCGAAGCGGCTGCTTTTGTACGAATTTTGAGTGACGGGTTAATCTTCTGTAATCTTGTAGGGGGACAATAGTAACTTCAGCGACAAACAAAAGGCATTCTCGGGAAGAGGGGAGTTCCTCCCGCCCCTCTTCTCTCGTCGTGGCCGGAGGCGAAGACAACCTCCGTCACTAGCTGTCAAGGTTCCTAGACGAGCATTACAAGCGAGGCGTAGCGACATCCACCAGGTGCTCTTTGCTAATCGTTTAATTTGTTTTAAAATTCCTTTTCGTGACTTTTTTAACAAGATATTGGTATGTTCGATGTGATGCTGTTCCTTTGAACACATATAGACCAAAAAATGAGCGCCGAAATTTCGTTGTAGTATCCCTTTAAGGGGTGACACCACCTTCAACTGTTAACTTTTAAACCAGTCGCTCGATATTTAAAAAATTTAAAGGGTATATTCATCTCGTTGCCTAAATGCACTGAATGACGTTTCATCTCAGTAGGACAATTTTCCGATGCGTTACAGGAGGAGGTATACAGCTCAATATCAAATTGCTCCAAAATATTGAGCATTGCTAAGCTTCAGCCATAACCAGAAAATATGGGGGGGTGCGGCTATCTATTTTTCAACCTGATATCTGCACTTTTTCTATGCAAAATGAAAATTTAAAAAGTATTCCACACAATGGGGCATTTTCTCCTCACCAAAACCCTACTTTTTGACATTAAGAACTTCATTTAAATAGGAAAATAAATATCAGCCACGTTCCTCATTAAATTTCAGTTCAGAAACATCCACAGCAAAGAATAGATCCCGCAATTCATCGAAATGATAGATTTCCCAAAACGAAAGTTGCTGCAAAAAAGTAAAACAGATAAAAATCTATTTGAAGTGTGCACACCAATACATCAGATTTTATTCATGGTGGTAACTAAAAGGCACCAAAGGATAGGTGGTGCCTTCTGCTTACACCTGATCACCTGCATGGCCTTGCTGAGCGAGTCCGAGCTTAAAACGGTTTCTTCAAGTGCCATTTTGTTGTCGACATGTGGACGCTGATTACGAAACGAGTAAGGAATTGGATATGCTTGCAGTACACAAACCAGCGCCAGCTATTATGGACAGGCCAAGCATCATTGAAATACAATGCCGACAAACCCACGTGACTTTCTATAAACAAATGTTGGTTTTAGTTAATTTTCTGTTCAATCTGGGCGGGCTTTTCGATTCTTGGCCATGTGCCGAGCCTCTTCCACGGAAAAGCTGGCCTTCTATGGTGTTCTTGCCCAAATAGTGTTCAATTTTGAACAAATTTGTTTAATGTACTGAAACTGTGAAGAAGTGCTCTTTCCAACGAGAGTATGATCATCATTCTAGGGCATACTGATGCGGAGCTACAGCTGTTAGAAAATAGGAACCACAGAAGTTTCACATTTAAAAAACATGATTTTGCATCATCGGCTTATTGAAAATGTTTTATTTCTCTGTAAATATTTAAGATATTGCAATAAAAATTTTCAGAAGTGTGCACTATTAGTTGTTGAACCACAATACTAGATACCAATAAGAAAAGTAATTTGTTTCTCAAAAATTGCAAATTTAAGTTGGTGTCCCTCCTTGAGCTGGACGCTGTGCCGTCAATTTTAGCTGGCTGAACGCCTTTCAAACAACAGCACACAGTTTGTGCGTCAAATGTTGTCAAACCAGAGAACATATTTTCCTCTCTCGCCATGCACCCGCCCCAACGGTCGCCACCCTGATCCCACGCGTCGCCGTGTAAAGGATCACAGGACCGCCCGTACCACGTAGTAGCCATGTTTTTGGCAGCCCGAGGCCAATGTTGCCTGACGGAGCTGAAGGTTCAGTTTCGGCTTCTGCTCTTGTTTAAAATAAGGTTCCACAAAATATATCTCATTTTTTGCGAAGCAAATGACGTAGTGCCCTTTATATGCTTTTAAATGTGAAGTCACTCATAACCCCGAAATTTTTGGTATTGAGCGGAGTTACCCTTTAAAAACAATACAAAAAAATTTCAAACATTCAACCATTATTTTAATAAATGCCGTAGTTCTCCACAGCCATGAATTGTGAGAGTTCCTTGCTGCCTCATGTACTGTTCACCAAAAAGCGTTATTAGTTGTTAGACTTTGCTGGATCACACTTTTTTTTTTTACAGTGGTGCCCTGAAAAATGTAGTAACTGGGTCCTACAAATCAGGCAGCATGTTGTACAGGTCTTCTAGCGTCATCTCCTATAACTTATTATGGACTATAAAATATCATTAAGTATACACCACTGAATAAGTACTACAGTCGACTCTCGATAATTCGACACTCACGGAGACAGCAAAATGGTTTGACTTAAGCGTTAAAAAACACACTCAAACTGTGAGTTTTATTCACTCAATACTCACTCAGGAGTAACAAAACTTTGGTTGCCTCCAGTGATGGAGACGCAGCTCAATAACTGTGCTCTGCAAATGGCAAACCTTTCTTGGGTGCCCGTAACCGTTTTCTTCGCCAAACAAAAAGTCCTCCATGGCACCCAACACTACTTCTACGTCGGTGGCATAGAAAGCAAAGCAGCAGATCCTGGCCTCATCACTTGTACAATTTCACCGTCCAAAAGCGAGCTGCTGACCACTGCAAGTTGGTTGACATCAATATGTTCGATGGACGAAACACCTCTGAGAGCCGATCTTTGTTAGCCATGCATGCTGCAAGGCCACGCTGCTCCAGAACTTCCAATGGAATGCTGGCATGATGCCACGCCTACTACCATGCTTGACTTGGCTTGGCCGCTTGGCTGGCTAGGTAGCCTTAGCCTTAGTTGCAAGCCTAGCGTGCCACACTCGTTAGCGTTTTTTTTTTTTCTTTCTTTTTAACCACTTAAACAGTAGATAAAAGAAATAAAGTGAGTATGGCTGCAATGCAAGCTTGGTCAGCATAACTACTCATCATCCCATTTCTGGGGCACACAAAAAAGTTATTTGAATTAACTATTTATTGAACTATATAAATTTGGGGGTTTTACGTGCCAAACCAAAGAAGGGTATCTGGCAATCCCCAGCGGAGGACTGAAGATCAATTTCGACCACCTGGGGATCTTTCGACATGCAACTGAAATCTTGGTGACTTCCTGCAACACGCCTCCATCAGATTGCGGCCAACTTGGCCGGTATTCAAACCCGCCGTCCGAGGATCCGTAACCCGGTGCTTAGCCTTGGAGCCACCAAGACGGCGTAAACTAGCAAAAGAAAGAAAAAAAGCTTACTGTAAAGTTTCAAGAGAACACCCGCCCCGAGAGATCACCCATCTCAATTTTCTGGCTAAATATCTGTAACAAAAATTCTGAAACATCGCGATCCCCCCCCCCCCCCCCCCCCTTCTCTCCCTCCCTCTCTCCCCCCCCGATTCCTATCGGACATTACGCAATATCCCAACGGGGATCACACCACCAACACAATTCGCTGTACCGGCACGTCTGACAAGCGAGTTCAAAGCGGGTTCCCGTGTTTTTGTCCGCGATCTGCGCACGTGATATCGGCTCCCGTAACAAGCGAGTTGTGAGTTGTTCTCGCATGTGTGAAATGCTAATCTGCTGCGTCCGCAATCTGCGCTATCCGTTCCTGTGACATAAAGTTATTTCCGCGTTTTTGTCCACGATCTAAGCACACAATCTCAATTCCATGCGAGTTGGTCCTGCGTGTATATTGCATTATGAAATATGATTCTGCTGCGTTCACTATCAGCGGTATTTGTTCCCGTAACACGAGTTTCTAGAGGATTCCCGCATTTTTGTCCGCGATCTGTGCGCGCGATATCAGTTCCCGTGACAAACAAGTTTGGAACAGGTTCCAGCGGGTTTGCACCATAAAGCTTCAATCTGCTGCGTCTGTGACCTGCGGTATTCGTTCCCGTGAGATGCGAGTTCTCGGCGGGTTTCTGCGGGTCCATCACACCGTGACACAGGAGTTCGTAGCGAATTCCCGTGTGTTTATTGCATTGTGAAACAAACTTGTGGTGTCCACTATCTGCAGTATCAGTTCCCGTGTCACATGGTTTGTAGCCGGTGCCAGAATGTTTATCATTAATTTTTGATAAAGTTTTGCTGTGGCATCCCCAAAGATAGCCCGCCCCATGTTTTTTACCATTTATCTCTTCATTTTGGGGGGGTGTCCTTTCAAAACATTATGGCAATTTTTTTTTTTTCTTCTTCAATGAATTGATTTGCATGATTGCTGGGACAGCACTCATGCTTCGAACTAATGGAAAACTAGAGTAAAGCGACTTTGAATTACCGAGAGTCGACTGTAATAGAACCACAGACAAATGATGCAAGACAAGGCTTCTGTGCGCAATAATAACTTTTGTTCCCTGCTTAGTACTGAACAAAATGAATTAATTGCAAGCATAACTGGCAGTTCCTCCTGCATAAAAACATGAGGGAAAAGTGATTGGACACCCAAGTGCTACTAATGAGTAGTGCCTCGGTACTTACCTTCTCGTGAATGGCACATCTCGTGGTAGTTGGTACGCAACCTGGTGGTAAGTGTGGCACGCAGATTTTCTACGTCGGGGTGAGGTGGGGGCATAAGTGTGGGAGACCGCTCCCAGATGACAACATTGGTTGCCACCTCCAGATCAAAGGGTCCACTGAAAAGCAAAGCTTGATTCTAGGCAATGACAACAAAACTTTTTTTTCCACACTCCATTTTATTTTGAAACTCAGTGTGCATTGAGGTCACTCCCTAAGTTATGGCTGCCATCATGTAAAGCAGTTCCCCGTTATTGCCCTCGCCAGGGGGCTGCACACCGTCTAGCTGTGTGCCAGCAGGGTGAGCTTGCAAGCCAGCGGATTATCAACAGTAAGGCATGCTTGCCTTAGGAGCACAGGGTTGATGAAATTTCCAAGTCACTAAGATGCTGTTTTATTGCACACACTTTCTAACCAATTAGAATCCATAGCATATATTACTTACACCTTGCGAGGTGAAGTAACCTGAACATGTTTCAAGGTGTAAAAATGTTAATAAAAATATAATTAATAAAAACAAGAGAAAAGGGTGCACATTTTAACAAACCAGAAATCAAATTGTGAATGGTGCTCAATGGCAGCATGCAAGCTGGGAAATGCAATCCTTTGAGTCAAGTATCAGTTTTTTTGCAGTGAGAATCCTAAGCAAAAGTGAGAAAGCATGTCCAGAGCAGTCACCAAGCCACACTTAATTTAATGGCAGCTTCAGGGACAGATGCAACCTTCAGAAAGTGAGCGTATTACAGCACCCATTCTGTTTATGAGAATTTCATTATATTCTATAACATCATACTATGCACATTTCAGGGCATCATCTAATTGTTTTTGTTTCACTTTCTTTGTATTGCAACACGATAAAATGCAATGAAAGCAAGCCATCACAAAAGCCTTGGCTGCTCGCTCGTATGCATCGCCTGATCAACATGTCGATTCACTGCTGGTGGTTGAAAAAAATAAACCACTGAACTGTCGTTAAAGGGACACTGACAGGGTATTTATGCTAGCCGAGGCTTTTTTTGCAACATGACCTATAGGCCAATGTGCTGTTTCCAAACAAGCCCTCACGAGGAGTGGGCAAACGCGTACTTTCCACACAAGGCGTGGGCATTGCGCATGCACGGGAACTAGATTCGCGTCAAGTGGAGCGTCTGGGCATGCGCCCTGCCAAAAGCAGCGCCACCGCAGCAACGTGACGTCAGCGTGGAGTGTTGGTGCATACGAGCTCAACTACTCAGAAGACAATTTGCGGCTCGAAATTTGTTTTCTTTCCACCCGAAAACAGCTGGTCGAGAATTGGCCGGTTTCAGGTGCGCTCACTCTCCTTTCCATGGTTACATGGCATTCAAACTAGCTGCACCAAATATGAACCCCACTTTTGTGACCTCTAAGAAGCCGAAAATACGCTGATCAAAAAAAAAATGTTGCACAGATCACAGGAAGTACCTGTAATCGTCATTCTCAATATGGCGACGTACTGCGGGCTGGATGACGCGATGACAGCGCACGAGAGACCAACATTGCGACGGACGTGGAGCCAATACTTCCGAACTGTCGCTTGTGGTACCGGCCAATCGATCTTCAAGCGCAGGACATTCAGCGGAAGAGATATAAATGCGAAACAATCGCACAACAAATTTTGCAGGCAACTTCGTCGTCTGCTTCACACGCCGAAGCGAGAGAAATGAAATGCGGTCGGGTGTAGCCACGTGACTCCCAGCAGCTCTCTTCTCCTCCACACTTCTCCCTCCTCCTCGGTACGGTACAGATCGTCCACGGGGCAGCGCGGCCATGAGCTTCCCTTCCGTGCTCGTATTTCGGTTTTGAGCAGTTGAGTTTTTTTGCTTTATTCAAAATATATGCGTGACTCTGTGGCAAAGTACTGATTGGGTAGTCTCCTGACACCTTAATCGCCTGGCAAAAAATTTAAAAAAATTTTTCTGGGGGGGGGGGGGTCAGTGTCTTTTTAAGATAAACCAACGTTGTCTTTTTAGACCATTTTTCCCCTAATTTTGCATTAAAATAGTGTGTGCATTATTCTTATGATATGCTTCAGCCAACAACATTGCTTTTACATTAAAAAAAAAAGATGAAACTTAACCTTTAATGATGGGAAACATATTACCTGTGCTGCATTTGTTTTATGCGCTGCTTTTCTTAATTTGTAGAATCCGAGTAAAAAAATAAGCCAGAAGTCTACTCGCTACCTCGAAACGTGCGACAACCAAGCAAACCTATAATTAAAAAAATATTACTGGCAACAGGTCCACCGATTTCTTTTAGTTACTGTAAAATACCGGGCAAGTTCCCACTCAAAATTTAGAGATGATTGCGAAAAAAAAGGGGATGAGCGCTTGTCCGGTCATCAATTTTACATATAAATGTACTGCGCATATTTCCTCAGATCTTACAAGTTTGGGTGTGGGCGCTTAATGTGGAATGGGCGGATGCACGGTATTCTACGGTAAAACCACATCTCAAAACATTAATTTAGCCAAAAGTTGCTATCGCCTTTACAAAATTCTTGCACCCATTTTACTGTCTAAATGTCAGCCACCTTCTGGTCACAACACGGAGATGGCAATTTATTACTCAAAAAGGCAAAAAAACATTATTTAAAACCAATAAATTGAATGTCGTTACGTCACACTTTGCATAAAAGCAGTCCCGCTCCGCAGAAGTACGGTGGCAAGCTGCATATGCGCGAGCTACTTCGAACTTGGCCAAACCGGATTTCCCTTCTCTCCTATGCCTATTAAACTGCTGCGGGGAGCAGGGAGGGGCAACTAGAATGGTCAGGTTGTAACGCGTTGATGCCCCAAAGTGGCAAAGCTCACAACCACACCAGCCTCCATGTAGCCTCAGCTGTGAAGGAAAACCAGACGTCATGAACGGTCTCGGGAGATCTGACGCCTTCAGCGTGTTTGTGACATCTGGTTTTCCTTCACGGCCAAGGCTACATAGAAACTGGCGTGGTTGTGGACTTAGCCACTTGGTGGCATCAGCACATTACAACCTGGCCGTTTGAGTTGTTCCTCCCTGCTACCCACAGAAGTTGAATATAGGTGCGGGAGAGAAGGGAAATCCGGTTCGGCCAACGAGCTTGGGTGGGTTCAGCCAAGTTCGAAAGGGCTCACGCACACGCAGCTTGCCGCCGTGCTTCCGTGGAACGGCACTGCTTTTATGGGGAATGGGATGTGACGACATTCGGTTTATTTGTTTTAAATAATGTTTTGGTGTTTTTGAGCAAAAAAATTGGTGTCTTTGTGGTGTGGCTAAAACGTGGTTGGCATTTAGACAATTAAATAGGCCTTGGAATTTCGTTGCAGTGCTCCTTTAAGTTTGGAAATGCAGTAACTGTACCTACAAATGAGCAAACTATATTTGCATGTACAGGTTGAGGCCATAAAGACCAGCACATTTGGTACATATTGCAAAATTTGAATTTCAAACTTGCATACCTGAAATTGGGCATGTGAATGTCGTTTTGCAAGAAGTTCTGTGTCTAATTTGTTTAGAGCTCAACTCGGAGGTGGTGAAATATTAAAAATAAAGCAAAAACGGCGGCCATGCAATTCCTATGTTCTATACCAGACTGTTCGTCGTCTGCTCACTGGATTGCGAACTCGCTGCCGGGTAGCTTGCTGAATGCAAAAACGCTGAGAATACCATATTAGAGGCTGGCAACAAGCAAGATAATCATGATAAGTAACAATTTTAGCTAAATATATGAACAGTGACCTCCTGGGAGCAAGCTCACAAACCAGTAGGACGCAGAAAATGCCCGCCCGCCATTGAGTAGAGTTGAGTTCGAAAAATTTCCGAGTTGAGTTCGAAAAAGAATAGGCATAAAACTTTGTGAAACAATGTTTGCGTGCCCAATTTCAGATATGCATGAGTAGAATTCAATTTCGCAAGGTATGCCAACTGTGCTGGTCCCTACAGCCTCACCCTGTATATACAGAATGCATATGCTATTGAATAATCCAGTACCTTTACCACCCTCTTGCAATAAACCATCTGGATGCTGCACGATAAACACAACAAATAAATGAATAACTAAATAAATAAAAGGAGCTTCAACAACCGAGAGTTTGCCGATCCCAAGTTCACCTAATGTGAAGAGATGCTGACGTCAGAAAGGTTTGAGAAGCAGACATTTGCATAACTTAACCGTGTTTCTCCCAAAGTACCCTCAACCCAAAAAGAGAAAAAGGAGGCATGTCACCCGAATCTACTTCTCCCCCCTTCTGAAAAGCAGTGTAACATCTTAATTGAAGTTGCGCTTTCACCTGAGGACAAACTTCTTGGCCGAGGCAGGATTTGCGTCGTCCGACGCTCGTCGCTTGTCGGGTCGCGGCAACATTACAGGACTGGAGGCAGGCGGTGACAACAGGATGTGGGACGGACCTGGTCCTGGAGGAGTGCCGGGGTCTACGGGTGTTGGGGGCCCTTGGATTCCCAAAGGGTCCGTCAGGGGGTCATACTGTCAAAAGGCGAGTGGCAATGTGTTCATGCCGTTCCACTTCAACTTTGTGCAGATCCCAACCACAATATGAGGCTGCCCGTGAGTCCTCAGCAGATGAATGTGGCATGATTAGGGTCCTGCACTTTTAAAACTCAGCAAAACACTTGCCAGTAAAAGTTTCCAAAAATTATAATTTACTAAAAAAAAGTAAGATTTCTTTCGGGTGTGTTTCGTGTAGGTCATAGCATAATGTCAGTGTCATGCCATGTGACATCAATCTCCACTGAATTTAGTGAAGAAAAGTCCTTTTAAGTTTTTTTTATTATAATTAATTCAAAGCTTTAGACCATGCAGTGCTGACAATCCAAATTCCGACAGCACAAGCTCAAAAAACCCTGCTCCAAGTCTACCCAGCAATAAACTTTGAAAAAATAGAACCTGAAACGTAACTCGGTAGAACTAATTTAGGGCAACGAGTTTATTCAATCAGTGACGCTACTGTCAGTTATCCCCCGCATTGACTTTTCTGTGTAATGTTGGCAAGGCAAACTAGTTTCTGCAGCCCTGCAGCTCCGCACTGGTGACAAAAATGGGGCGATGAAGCCCTGGCTTCCCCTTTCCTTTTTCGCTCAGCCACGTTGGTGTTGACACAAGTCAAAAAGAAAGAAAGGGGACTAGGAGATGTCTCCACGTCTTCCCATTCTCTCCAACTTTCAACAGACTTTTTCTCGGAGCGTTGCGGAAACGTTGCTAGCCACACCAATGCAGTATGGAAAAGCCAACAAACAGTAAGGTGCAGAAACAAATTGGGAAGTCCCTCCGGGACAACGGGCACTCCTTCCCTTCATGCCACTCCCATCTATCGAGGGGAACTCACTGGAGGAGGGTGGCCACCTCCCAGGCCCCCGCCCAGGCGCGGCATCTCCCAGAGCGACTCGTTGGTGAGCTTGTTGAAGAAGTAGGGACGGCCCTCGCGCTTGCTCCAAAACCGACGCCAGCCAACTTGGAGCAGTTCAGGAGGAAGGTCGTGCACGGGATCGGGACCGGCTGTCTGCGGGGGTGACATAAAGGGCGTCGCCTGTGGCTGGGCCACACCTGCTTGGCCGCCCGGACTGCCATGCTCCGTCCCTGGTGGAGAGAATACATCGACATCCTTTACCCTCACCAGCACACCTCATACAGAAGACTATGTTGCAGGTGTGTTTGGAAAAGTGCAAGGGTGGACAGTGACACTGCACAAATACAGCGCTAACTTAATCCAGACCCTCTGTGCAGTCTAATGTGAAACTAGCACGCCAACTTCACTGTTTCTGTATGCAAAATCTAATTCAGTAAAGCGCTTCCTCTCTCGATTTCGGGGTCGACGATGCCAGGATAGAGTCCAAGGCACAACTTGCATCAACATAAAATTTCCTCCTATACCAAAGCAATTCCCCTATACTTCGTCTTAACTCAAAATGAACTACAGTCACAGCTACACATCGCCTGGTCCAATGCGCATACCTCTCCGAAACTTGTACGCATGTTGAAGTTATATAGCACCACATGGTTTCTAAAGGGCCCATGATTAGGCCTGGCAGCCCATAGCTTTTGCAGTAGTTGCCTAGGCCAAGACAAAGTGCAGTACTCAGGTCATTGCTGTCCTAGCTGAGACAGAAACTGGCTAAACTGGAAATTTACTAAGAAAAGGAAGTAAAAGGACAAGGTCCTTTCACATATTTGACTGTTTAACCAATAAACCCACACAACTCACTCAGGTATTGCGTACAAGGCCTGCCCTGCTCTGCTAGTATGTGCCGTGTAGAGAACTTTGAGCTCAAGGCTTCGAGAGTAGATTTTGCCAGCGCCTCGCTTCTACAAATTTTCTGGTTCATTAGTCCCTTTTAGCAATTGGAAGCTGATTGAGCAACTCCTTCAGTGTAGACCCAGAGGCTGCATTAAATAGGAAAGGCTGAAGAAATGCAAAAGGAAATGATGACACTGTTTCACTGGCCTTCTGATGACACAATCTTGCTCAGAGCAGAGCCTAAACTTGAGGATAATATAAATGTGGTGGTACAACTTATCTCACTAACAATAGGAAACTTCAATGTCCATGTCACTTATTGATTCATTAACCCGGTCTTCAAACTGCCAGAAACTGCACCATCAAAGGGACTACCATAATCTATAAATTATTTGATTTTGCAAGGTTTTTCCAGGCATTTTACAAAATATGCATCAAATTTGGTGAAACAAATGTGTATAACCAGCATTGACAAAATTAATATAACAGTAATGCCAATTTATGAATAAGACCCCCATATAATACCTTATTGTGGTTAAAAAACGTTTTCAGTTATATTTCAATATATTAATCAAACTGTCTTATGCAGAATTTGTGTGTTTTTACGATGCATCTCCTTGTCCTTTCCCTTCTTTACAACACCACACGGAGTGCACAGACGCACAGGCTGAGGTCACTAAGCGGCATGTGGGACTCACAACACATTGACATGCAATGCGTGCGAAAACTAGCAGTTAGTTGGAGGTGCAGGTGTTTGGCAGATGGCCGGCCAACTCAGCTGCCTTCAAAAGCCGTCCAAAGGCATGCCTACAGACAGCATAAAATATAGGTTTGCTTCTGTTAGAATGCAATATTGCATCGAAAAAGGACCCTTCACTTGACAGTTAAGCTATGTAGTGATATTTGTACAATCCTTGATAGCAGCCACAACTTATTGTTTTTCTTTATTTTTAATCTATTGTTACAACTTATTGTTAATCAAACTGATACATCCTACAAAAATGTTACCTACCAAACTTTGTCTGGTCTTCCCAGGAGGCAGCTGGCTTGCTCAGCATTTCACTCACACTGTGATTTTTATCCAAGAGAGCTTCATCCGGTGACAAAAGATTTTGGAAGCGAGCATCAGACATGTCAGGTCTTCAACTCATACCCCAGACCTAGAACATAATTTCAGTGTTAATGTTCAACCCTTTACATTTGACACATTTCATACATATGCAATATGGTACTTCAAAAAAGCAATGACACATTTCATATATATGCAATATAGTGCTTCAAAAAAGCAATTTGAACGAGCATTAGATTTATTATATTCTCACAAGACATTTATTGTATAAAAACAAACACTATCCAATTAAGCCATTACAATTAAGCATTAGAATGAACTGATAATGAGGAAGTAAATGCATTCCTAGGGCAGTGGTCTTGGTGCCACTGACCTGGTAATTAGACTTCTGTGAACCGCATAAGCATGTTCACACTAGCATAGAACATGTGCTCGCACAGATTTTTTTTTTTTTTTTTTTTACTTCCGAGGATTTTTTATGTGTGGCCTGGTTTTAACAAGGCAGGTGAAACACGGAAAGAAATTGCCAAACAAGATTGCCATATTTCAATGCATATATAGTGTGATAAAAAGAAGTCTGCAGATTTGTACTTTACAAAAATGGCATCCCAGAGCATAAGTCTTGGCAGGGATTAAATTTTTAATGATGAGCTTGAGTACCATATTTTCAAGTCTATAAGTCACACGTACCTATAAGTGTAATGTCGGCATGTCAAACCTGCAGTGATAAGCCCGCATACGTGTATTGTGATCATAATATATGCACAAGTGAGAGCCAATTTCAATATTTTCACCAAAGCCCTGAAAAATATAACCCCCACAACCAACTTGCACATTTAATGTGCCCACTAGACAGAGTTGAGAGAGGAAAATGCCCTCTCTCCTCTCACGCTGGCGTCTCGTCTGCTCCTGGGAGCGGGTAGTGCCTAGCGAGCAAACACAGTTCAAAATCGCGTCATTTCATCAATTTTAGATGCAAATGTGCAGATTTAAATGTGCAAGTTTTCTTATTCCCGATAAAAAAAAAACTACCCAGACACAGTACTGCTGAAAAAAAAAAAAAGTGAAAATTTTGGACTGTCCTCTTTGGCAAAAAGTAAATGCAGTTGCAGTAACTTTTCTGCTAGATAAGATTCTTAACGATTTAAGCCATTAGCAACTGTCCATGAAATGATTCTTCCATCCATCCATCACAGCATTATCTTCTACGTATCCTTCGTGTTTTTACTTGAACAGTCTCCCCTTACATAATGCCCAGCAATGGGCCTTTAAAGGCCGACGACCAGACACAAGATTCTGCAAGGCAGAAGATCCTCCTCACACTGGGGGAGGAGGAAACGGGCAACGGTGGACAGGGTGGAAGGGGGAGAGGAGGAAGCGGGGAAAAGTGGAAAGCGCAAACTGGTCGTGGGTCTTTAAGGTACTTGAATAAATAAATAAATAAGAACTCTAGATAAAAAGAAAACATGCTCAGCAATTAAGAAACAGTCACGCAATGTTTTTTTTTTTTTTTTTTTTTTTTTTTAACAAACAACTAATTTGCACAGAATTTCGGATATGAAGACCTTAGAGGGGTTACATTAATGCAGATATTTCTAGTGGTTCATTTGTAACCAAAACAACTTTTTGTAAGGAGCGTAAGTGATACTAAGGAAGTGATTAATGGGTACTCAACTGACTTTAATGTGACGCCAAAAACGTAATGATGTGGGTGCGCCGGCAGCGTATTTTGCGCAAAAGTTGTTGATTCTTGTTTAAAGAAAATAAAAGTAAAACTGGTACCTTTGACATAATTCTATCAGCTATAGCTGGGAATACGTAAAGAAAACCGAGGGTTTTATTGTTTACCCTGGAGTAAACAAAACTTTATATTTGCATGGCATTTCACAGAAGACAAGCAAGGCTTTTGCAAACTAGAACTGTACCATTAGGACTCTACTTTTTGCTCACGCAATATATGTAGCAGTTGATGGTAGTACTGCCAGACACCATTGCTATTGAAATAACTGAAAGAAGATATGCTAGCTAATCCTTTACTGAAACAACAGAGCACAATACAGTGATACTGGGGTAGCCATAAATGTTCTAGAAATGCAAACCTCTTCACAGCGGCAGCAGCGAGGGAGCGTTAGATGTTCGGTACGGTCAACGTAGAGCCCAAGGGTACTGCCCAAATGTTTAGAATGGCTGGCCCGTCATCTGCCATTAGGCACATTCCCTCTTTTACACCACCCAATCTGTTGAAAATGCGGATAAACAGGGATGGCACTGCAGTCAAACTAAATAGCGTTGCCCTAAGAGCACCCAGTGGAATAGTTTATAGAAAAAAATGCATATAAGTCGCACCGTTCTATAAGACACACCAGCGGAAACGTTGTAAAAGGAATATGCGACTTATACATTGGAAAATATGGCAATGAAGAAGATACATGACACAACCCTACTTAAGGTTCTACTCTTGACCGATTAATCATTGAAAAAAAAGGAGTTCGCAATTATTGCATAAATTTGTGGGTTCATAAATCAATTCCATAGCCCTAGTACTTATTAAAAATTAAAATAGCGCAAGGACACAGACAAGAACAAGAAGGTAGATGAACAAGGCGCTGACTTACAACTGAAGTTTATTCGTGCTAACATCAAGTATAAATACTGTAACGTCATAACAAACAAACAAAGATAAAATACATGACATGGATGCCACATGCTTTTTAGCCACCGTTATGCACTGACACTGTGTGTCTAAAAAGCAACATTCCTTATTCGATAAACATAGTGAAGGAGTGCTGACCACAGTTTTCCCCCAATCTTCCAATTTCCCGCACCTCAATGGTTTATCGAGCGAGTTTGCCTTTATTTTTCCTAATCACTTCACACTTGTCGAAGACGGGAGTGCAACAACAGTCCCCGCAATGCAGGCCAAGGTGACCTGACACAACTCTAAAAACGTTATATTTATGCTCTCACAAGCAATCATTGAGGCAGCACGCCGTTTGCCCGACATATCTCCTGCCACACGAGAGGGGAATAAAGCACACCACTCCCTCCACACAGTTCACGAATCGGTCACGTGCTCCTTAGCCATAACAGTGGCTAAGGAGCACATGGCGTCCATGACATGTATTTTATCTTTGTTTGTTTGTTATGACGTTACAGTATTTATACTTGATGTTAGCACGAATTAACTTCAGTTGTAAGTCAGCGCCTTGTTCGTCTACCATCTTGTTCTTGTCCATGTTCTTGCGCTGTTTTAATTTTTAATCATGAAATACCTGCGCCGTTTTAATTTTTAATCATGAAATACCAACTAGCCCAAACTTCTACGCTAGTCAACCTAGTACTTATGCTTTTGCTGCAGTGACACAAAAATTATCACCATAAGAAAAAAATAAGGAAAAAAAAGCACACGCCAGGACCAGCACTGAGAAAAAGGTTTCGCTGCTGCTTGGCACTGCCCCTGCCCATGAGCCACACACAGTCCTGCACAATCCCGAAATAATCAAGTGTCAATATTCCGTAAACTCATAGTGCATGACCCATGGATGAAGCAAGGCAAATAAAATTTGTTGTTTGGAGGTGTAAACAGCAAGTTACTCTGCCTTAAGATATTGTCTGGTGCCTCTGCTTAGATGGGCAATAAACCTTTTGCTAAATTACCGAAGCACTAAGGAGCATACTGAGACTGTATTTATACATGCTGCACCTGCCAGCATCTGCAGCAGTAAATGTTCTAAAGCAAAAACCTAAAAGAAATGGCACTTTGCATGCGAGTTCATCAACACTTTACTTTGGTTGTTTAGTTCTCTTTTATACTGAAAAGGTGAGCACTTGCAGTGCATGTACCTACATTCCCAGCATCCTCCTTAATTTGGTGAAAGGTCTATTAGGCTAGTGCAGTACAAGTGCCAACCTGGTGTCTTTTATGTGTGCCACGTGAGACTAGATGTTCAGTCTCAATACCACACTGGCCAAATATCCCATTGTGCATAATCTCCTAATTATAAAGAAGAAGTGTCATGCTGTATATGCAAAGAAGCAGCTTTAGCACTGCACACACATTGGGCTACTAGGCTGAAAAGACACATAGTAGTAAATGAAACATGAACACCGACAGACCATGTTTCTTTAGTCCTGGATTTTTGTATAGATTCTTCCCTTTGGCCCAACATATTTATCCTCTAGATTCTTGCTGCTTTGTTTTACTACCACTAATCTCCCCTAAATACCATGGTATATGTAAGAATAACTAACTTATACACAAACTTTATTTACACAAAAGGGGCTACAACGATCAGTAATGATATGCATTGTACACGTCATACACAAAAATACACAAAAAATGTAAGCCACTGTTAATCGTTTGATGAAGGATCTGCTGAATTACAAAAGCAACAGTCACTCCTACAATCGAAGCATGGTTTTGTCAGACGCACACAAAATCATAGGTCACTGTTGCATTGCATCTCAGCAGCTAAACAAATACATTCGAAATGCACAACTGAGCCTGCTCATCTGGACTGTTCAGCACACTCGACCGTGCTCGTCCCTTGATCAACATTTCAAATGCATAGCATTTATCGTACAAAAACAGCTACCGTTATTGGACCCAGGCTACCAGTGACAGCATCAACATCATCCCCCTCGTTACAGCTCCCAGGACAGCCCTATCAGCTTCTTATTTATGCCTCGAAAGCGTCCGAAAACCGAAATGTCCGTTGCCTTATCGTCTTCTCCACTGACCAAAAGAAGAAGAAAAAAAAAAAAAAAGACGCGCTAATAGCGTTGTCAACCAGTGACGCGATTGCCGGCATTTCGAAAACCCCCGTACATCAGAATTGAAAGTCGCAACAAATGAAAACTAGGTACAAGCCCTTATTATCGTGATAATATTTTTTTTCTAAAGCGCGCGTATCAATACACTTCCCGATGAGATAAGCAGAAATCGATCGCGTCTCTCGGAAAATTCTGGCGGGATCAGCCCCCCCTGCAAGCGCGGCAAACTAGTCCTCCAGCCACGCTAAAGGTGACAAACATTGCACACGAGAAACGACATCACACGACTGAAGAACTTCGCATACACTTACTTGAGTGAATGACAGTTGGTAGAAACCGTGACAAGCTCACTAGGGTGAACTTGACCAAGCGGACAGCCGGCCAGAACTTACTGGCACAGCAAAGTTTTTCGGTTGTGATAATCAAAGCTGTCGCCACCTTCATAACCGCAGTATTTCTTTTCAGGCAAATGCGCTAAATGCGCCTTCTCACAAAAGGTGAAATACATTGATCACACTCTTACCGACCCCATACAGTCGACGAGAGTTGATCAGCAGGAATGTATACAAATCCACGTGTGTTTGGCTCGATCATTTACCGTTTTCGTGACGCTAGAAGCAAATCATTACATACATGCGCGACATAACGATGCTACAAACGCTTGTGAACTCATTTTAAGTGACAAAGGGGACTTTCTAAAGGCGAAAACTTGACCGTTCGGTATTTTCTGTAGGGAGGCGCAAATCGCTTCCCCAATACAACGCCATTTGCCTCGCTAGACAAAGATAAAATCACGTGACCGGCATGACCACCGGAAACCAGTGACCACGAATTAAAAACAGATTAGAAATATAGTGATCGATGCCAGCTACAGTCTATACATAATTTATAACTAAAAATTATTAGATTGAAGTGACTTAAAAGTATTATTGAAATGACGATGTAAAAATTGACAAGCATGAAACAAACATGCTATTTGATTCATCTAACTTATCATTTTCATGCAAATATAATCTCGATTGATAAAAATAAAAATAAAATTTAGATTATATTGTGCTGGCGATCACTTATCGCGAATTATAAACATGTAAACAGACTACAAGTGCACAAGCATAAAGTAGTAATGGTAGTAGTAGCATGGCAGCATCAGGGATCAGCATGTCCAGTCTTCACAAATACACCGAGTGCCCCAACCCACGGCTAAACGGCTATATACTAATACAAAACTGGAAGAAAACCGGAGCTGATGTTGCGTGAACAGCTTTACGGTCACGGGCACTCGACGAAGTTCAGGTTCAGACACCATAGTGCGGTGAAATTTGGTGCGGCGGTGCGGCCAGTGAATGCGGTCCTGCTCTAAGCTCGTTTGGCTGGTTTGGTGATGCGATGAGGCTGTTGAGGAGATCGTTTGGTTTTCAGTCCAGCTGATACAAACGCTCTACTGCGCGTTTGCACGGGGCGCCTTTGCGGCCTGCGCCAGTTTGTTTTATGTAACGCATTACGTAACTCTATGCAGCCACTAGAAAACAAGCAACAATGACCGCATGAACGTGAACAGTGCTTCTCCGAATAGAATGTGTGACAGACCTCCTCCGGCGAGGGAAGACACAAGGACCAACGAAGACACGGACTACTCAAGGGTGCTGCCGTTTTTTCTCGGAAGGTATCGTTCATTGCAATGCTGTCCCAACTCAACCATCACGCAAGTTCGTCATGTGTGCATTCTGTGGGCTCTACGCTTTTGTCTTTTATATGTAATTTCAGAGTTATTTACATGTGTGAGACCTCTTGCCCTCGACTACGCCGGAAGGTTTACGATTGCACCTGTTTTTATGATGGGTGTGGACGCTTGTTTAATCAACTTTTCGTAGACGTGATACGTTGACGTTCAATTCCTGCCAGCACGATCCGCGTTAATTATGTTAATCAAAAGTAGGTTAAAACGGCTTGCACAACCCACTTCTACCAAAATTATTGATCAAATGAATCTACTGAAACCTTAGGGTCTTCGAAGAATGGTAGTTTAAGTTGGCATAGCTTTTCTGACTCAGTTGTAAAGGCAAACATTTAGATATAATATCTCTTACTTGCTTTACCCCACACCTGAGCTGGAATATGAACAAAATCGGGATGCTTCTCGGTTTTCAAAGTGTTTTATCGCCTTGGCTTACACAAGTTTATTGGTCAGAGACGATACATATAGCAACCGAGAGAAAGCTTGTCTATCCCCCATCTTTCAAGTGAAAACAGGTGTTTATGTTCAGGGGAAGCTCCTTCCACTTTAGCAGAGTGAATGCTGGAGAGGAGGTCACCTCCTCTCCAGTGTTCCCTCTGCTAAAGAGGTGGGAGGAGCTTCCAGTGCACGGTCAAGCGCCTACTTAAATACTTAAAATTTAGAGATAATTGCGAAAAAATGGGGGATGGGTGCTTGTCCCATCATCAATTTTACATATCATTGTACTGTGCATATTTTCTCAGATCTTACAAATTTGGGCATGGGCACTTAGTGTGGAATGGGCGGATGTGCAGTATTCTGTGGTAGATGGTGTAGGCCATCAATAGTCATTAGCCTTTTGCTTGTATGCCTTGTTGGTGCTGGTGTTAGAATGCAGGGACACAAACTGTGTGGGAGTCAAGGAGGTTAGTTCAGAGGAGTTGGTACTCCTATGCTTTGTTTGCTGGAGATGGGTTCAAGGAGTGCCTCCGAAATGAGAGGAAAAGGAACGGTTGGTGAGGAAAAGGGGGAAGAGCCAGGCACTGATCGGCAAGATCCCAATACCAAGCTATGATCGTCAAACGTTACGGGTGTTTGCAAGAGTAGTGAGGAATGGAGAACAAGCTGAAGGGAAGAGCAGGATTGCATTAGAAAAAAGAAGCAGAAATGCTCCTGCTCTCCGTAATATGGCTGCCAAGGCACTTCTGGCACACTTTTTGGCACATGATGCTGGCTCCTTTTCTCTTTAGACCCTTTGGGCTGAGGCTAGGGTTTGCTCTTCCTTTTTCTTTTTTTTGCTGTGACAAGGATTTCGCATTTACTGAACTGTTTTGTGATTTGTTTCAGAATTCAAGCAAACCAAGCACGCCTTTTCAACTTTGCATCCGACGACTTCTATGAAGAAGATTCAGATGATTCGGATGGCGAACATCATCTGAGCAGCTTGTGTAGGCAATTAGTGGTTTTCATAGTTTGAAATTTGTTTCAAGAGTGCAGTATAGGCAATTAGTCTCTGTGGGTGGTAAGCATTCTAGAAAGAGGTCATAACTTTTGTTGAAATTGAAATTGTGTCCAGTTGAGTTCTCTTTCAAGTATCCTGAAGTATGGGTTCACAACTTAGCAAACCACATAATATACAGGTCTGTCTTTTGAGCTGAAGAAAAAGAAATTCAGTGGTGTCTTATCCTGCTAACATGTTCAGTGGGGTCTTCAAATGAAAAGCATTTGTGAGGGTGCCATTCCAGCCAGGTAAAAATTCTTATATTGTGTTAGTTTCGGACTGTCTTGTACGCATTACTTGGAAAAGTAATTGATTACAATTACAATTACTTTTGGTTAAAAAGTATTCAATTGGACACTTGAGAAGAAAAGTAATTGACTGTTACTTGAAATAGTGGCTTACTTTTCTGATTGCTTCAGATTTTCAAGACAACAGATTTTTCTGCCAGTTTGAAAATGGCTTTTTCATACTGTCCAATATGGGATTAAAATCACAGAATTATCAACTGCTTACTTTTTAATCTTTCACTTTTGTTAAACAATCCTTCAGTCGGAGACTTGGTTCTAAGGATGTCTTTGGAGGAAACTTGTAGAAATAAAGGGCATCATTAGAAAGGGTAGGGAAAAACAGTAATGGTTACGAGTAATTTTAGTATTTTCTAAAGTAATTGGATTGCTCTTGATTAGCTCCTAATAAAAGTAATTAAATTACAAAATTACTACAAAAATGTGATTGATTACAAGTAATTTGATTACTTGTAATGAGTACCGTACAAGTCTGGTTTCTAATGAGTTTACAAGCAAAATATTTTGTAGGAATAAGTTTACCTTATCTTAACCAAAAAAAACTTTTTTTTTTAAATGTGGTTTTGCAAGCTTAAAAGAAAGATTCAGTTCCTTTGGGGTGAAGTGCACTTCATTTGGTTAGGGTAACAGCATTGGCAGCATGGGCTCAGAAACTGCATGAGACTCCTGACCCTTCAAAGCATAAAGTTCTCACTTGTATCTTGTTAGAGATTTCCATAAATCTGGATATTGTGTAGTCTGCAACTTGACTGAATATTCCATGCTTTTGTCACTGGTATTGCTCGTGTTTACTGCACAGACCTTTTAGAGCGCAGGTCTTAGGCGCCCGTTTCCGGCTTGAGCGGCGTCGCCATCGGCGGAACCGTAACTCGTTGCCGTAATTGCGCGGTGCATTATGGGAAACGTCCCATAATGCACCGTGGTGAAGCGTGCATTTAATTATGGGATGTTTCCCATAATGCACCGTGCGGGAGGGAGGTGGGGAGAAAGAGGGGGGGAGGAGAAGGAGAGGGGGAAGAGTAGATGAGGAGGGAGGAGGAACGGGCACGGATGAGGAGGAGGGGCATACTGTCCCCTCCGTACCCTCCCCTCCTCTTCCTCAAGAGCTGCGCTCTAATTTGGCATTACAGGGAGTTGTAGACGTCTTTCATTTTGGAGCGCAGCTCTTGGGCGCCCGTTTCCGGCTTGAGCGGCGTCGGCGTAACCGCGCGGTGCATTATGGAAAATGTCCCATAATGCACCGCGTGGGACCCATTGTGACGTCACAAGGGACATTTCCCATGATGCAACGCGTCGGGAAGAGGAGGGGGAAAAGGAGGTCACGTGACTCCCGTGAGGTCACAAGGATCACGTGACCGTACGGTTATGCAGATGGCGACACCGCTCGGAGGGAGGAGTAGCAGGCAGGGTGAGGAGGAGCGGTATACAGTCCCTTCAGTACCCTTCTTTTCTCCTCCTCAAGAGCTGAGCTCTAATTCAGCGTTGCAGGGAGTTGTAAACGGCTTTTATTTCTTTTTCTTTTTTTCTTTTTTATTGGTGGATGCTAGTTTTTGTGTTCCATAAAGGAAAGGGGTACTTGTAATTTTAAAAATTGTCTTGCACATAAATTGTTACAAGACATAAATTTAACAAATAATTTCTTCTTTGATTGGGTCACTGCAGTCTTCTATTTTATTAGTTTATTTACAAACCACATTGAAAAGTTGCTGAGACAGATTGTAGGGTTTCTTCGATTCCCCGCTACATTCTACAGATCTCCATGCAATTTCACTGAAGTATGTTACGAGCAGAACATCCATTATATCTTGTAAGGGGCATTTATAAGTGTCCTCCAGAAATGCTTTGTGACCTTAGGGGTTCTCTCAGGCCTTTTTACATGATCTCTTCATCCTTGTTTGTATACTCACAATGTGCTCTCTCTGATTGTAGAGAGAGTGAACTATAAAGAGCATGTTGTGTGGCAATCATTGTTGGTATTGCTACATTCCAACGATAGACGAACATGGATGATTTTTTGAAGAAATATTTGGTTCATTAAAAAACTGAGAGAACAAAAAAACTTGAAAAAAAAAAAAAAAGGGACAAGTACAGCAAATGAGTGCTCATTCTCAACTGAAGGTTTATTTATGTGCGAAAATGAACCTTCAGTTGAGCGAGTGCTCATTGTACTTATCTTTCTTGTGTCCGTGTTTTTTGTGCACCCCTCTGTTTTTAATTATGAATTGGTACCAACTGGCACAGTTCCCAACACTTTGAAGTGTCCGGTACTCGAGGCTGCCGATACATGGCTTGAACTGACATCACTTGGTCAGACATAATGGGGGAAAGGGCGTGTGAGACGGTAGCTTCCGCCGCGTTAAGAAGGCGCTTCTTGCCACCAGAAAGGGGGGCGGACGGACAACGTCACGTGCAAGCTGTGTATTCTGGTGGCACGGTTCTGATTGAACGATTAAGGCCCGTCTTCACACACTTGCGACTCTTTGGGACCGAATGCCTCTCTCGCGACGAGTGAACACGCAAGCGCCACCCATGCGGTGACCCTGGAACTGCATTTCACTAGAGCGAATGTTTTGCGGTATTTGCGAGATCAAATGTATGTGCTACGTACGAGAAATGGTAGTTTATAGCATTGACAAAAAGGTTTTCCGAGCCAAAAAAGAAAGATGCACAAAAAAAATAGAAAATATACGGTACCGCCAAGGGTTCCACGGCTGCCTGATGGGTGGCGCCAGTGTGCATTCTTTCGTCACTAGAGAAATGAAGAGGTTTCGAGGCACAGGGTCCTAAGAAGTCGCAAGTTTGCAATGGGCCTTTATTTTTGGGACAAAATCGTGACATGCATGTTTTTTGCCCTTAAACGTTTACACCCCTTTAGATGGCATAAATTGGATGTTTGAATGAGATTTATTTACTCCCCTAAAAAAAAGCCTCGCAACGACAGATGAGTCGTGCAGTGTACCTCTCCAATTCTTGGAAGGAACTGCAAAAAGTATTTACATTGGCCGATCACCTCTTGTCCTGGCACCCGTTTGGCCGTGAAGCTGAGATTCTTATTATGTCCGTTTTATTGTGAAAAGTTTTCAAATGTGTACTTAACATCTGGACATGTATAAGAAAAAAATTAACTTCTACAAGGTGAGGAGGCCACCACAATTTTTTTGTTTCTTGGTTGAAATGGCTTCAATATTTCAGTAACATGCACAGTCTGTCTGGTTTCTAGTTTGAAGATAGAAATGCGTCGGCACTAAAATATAGGTCAATAAGTGTGGAGTTCCTTGTTAAATACCTAAGGCTTGAAATCGGTCGTGCCTAGTCACCAGATTTTTTTGGGAGGCCCAAAGCAGAATTTTATTCGAGCTATCCTCGGTTTCGCATCACAGTATGTGTCTGCGTATTTTTTAGATGTCTCACTGTTTCTCAGTTTTCACAGTTAGGTGGGTTTAGTCTTGAAATTTGTTAAAACAAATCTCTCTGTTTAGTTTGGGCCAATAACTGGCAGGCTGGGTAGCGTTACAGTGTAGGAAACTGGTGCTGTATGATTCTTTTAGTAGAGGGAAAGTGCAGTTGTTATACCAAAACAGAATTTTGATTTTTTGGTCTGGGGCTGCCTGATTACGTCATTGCTGCCATTACCATAGAGCTGAGTAGACATCAACAGTGGTAGCATGCTCAACTCTTGGTGCCATGGCAAGTGTGGTTCATTTGTACTTGGTTCTCAACAATGCTTGAACTTACAAATAAGAGGATGTAATTCTTGAAGGTGGTCTTTTTGCACGCATGTTAGCACAGTAGGGAGCACCTCTTAAAGCAAATAAATTTTTGTGCAGCTTCTGGGATGATCAGGGGTTAGAGCAGGGTGAACAAATGAGAAATCATGCGTGTTGATGGCACCAAAAGAAGGATGGCTAGGACTTCTTTGATTTTGAGCATGTAACTTTACCACTCAAGGATGGTGTTCAACGAATTCAACTGAAAGAGGTTAACAATGTTTGGGACTATGGTTACTTGAGTATCCCTATGTCTTATGACTCTTGGATCGCTGCATGCAGTGTTTTAGTTCAGTTTCGTTATTTGAGCGAGAGGAAGTGCTGTGCAATGTGCAGGGATTAACTCTTTGGAATGCCACTTCTGACGTAAACAGGCACAGTAAAAGGGACCATGAAATGGCACTTGAACCTTGGCTATAGCATTGCAGAATTAAGTATTGAACACATAATTAGTTTTTTTGTTTATGTGAAAATACACGTTTGAAAAATTTTTGTGGTTGTTAATGCTCTGAACTTGCCATTGAAGAAGGAGGTAGCATTCATAATGACAAAAAAGTGAAATGAAAATTAAATTTTGAGAATACAATGTGTTAATCCAAATTGAAGGGCATCTGACATGTCATTGCAAAGGACTAGAAATTAATTTAGAGCACCTGGGAATCTTTAGCATTCAGCAAAACTCTCAGTCACGGGGCACCTTCAGCGCAGTAAACCACCTCAGGATTGTGGATGCATTAGCTGAAATATAAGAGTGCCAATGATGCACATTTCTGCCAGTTCCTAGAAGACACCCATAAAGAGTGAGATACTGAGTGAAATCTACTCAAAATGTTCTTATATCCAGTTGACCTCCATTCTAGTGTACTGTAAAAAAG